CCCGTCCTGGCCAGCGCGGGCTGCGCCAGCCCCGAGCGCGGCCCGTACGGGCTGCGCCCGGCCCGCGCGCGGCCCGTTCGGGCTGTGCCAGGCCCGCGTGCGGCCCGTACGGGCTGCGCCAGGCCCGCGCGCGGCCCGTACGGGCTGCGCCAGGCCCGCGCGCGGCTCGGGCCGCCTGCGCGCGGTTCGTCGGGCTGTGCCAGGCCCGTGGGCGGCCCGTTCCTCTCTGTCCCTGAGCTGCTCGCTGTCCCCCGTGCTTCTGACGGTGCCCCACCCCTACTGCTGCCCGTTCTCCTGAATTAGGGTTTGGGGGTGAGGAGTGTGGGGGTGGCGGTTGTGTGTTACTCCCCTTGCTCCTCCTCCTCCCTGGTCTCCCACTGCTGCAGCTGCCGCTGAGGGGGGTGGGTGTGTGGGAGCCTAGGGTTTAGGGTTTTAGGGGGGTGCGTGGGAGTGGAGCTAGGGTTTGAGCAGTGGGTGTGTGTCGAGGGTGTGGGGCAGTTGGAGGAGGTTGTGTGGAGGTACCTGTCGTGTCGCCTGCAGCGCCTGTAGTCCGTCGCCCTTGCTTCGGTAGCCAGTGAGCCTGCTGCACCAGTCGCCAGTGGGTCCGTTGCTCCTGCCGCTCTTCTATAGCCGCCGAGCCAGTTACTCCAGTAGTCCGTCGCCCTTGCTTCGGTAGCCTCTGAGTCAGCCGCTCCAATGCCCGTGCCTCTGCAGCTTCAGTCGTTGCCTCCCATCTTCTCTACCTCCACAGCTCCTCCTCCTCCTCACTTGCCCGCTGTGATTAGCTCTAGCTTTGCTTACCTTTGTGAACTCCTGCTCTATACCTGCTTGCTCATTGTACTGAATACACCCCACTTTGGCTATGGGGGTGTGTCAGAATGTTATGCTCTAGCCTGTAGTGGGGTGCTCTATAGCGAGTACAACCCTTCTAGGGTTTGCTATTTGTATCCTCATTCCTGCTAGTGAACCCCCTTTTGCCTAAACTTCTCTTGCCTAGCTAGGACTTACCTAGCTATGGCTCCTAACTCTACCTACTATTTTCACAGGCTCGCCGGAGTCTTCGTCGGTGCGTGTCAAAGCAATCACGATGAAACGCGCCGTAGCGGCAGGAGCTGGCGTGTACGCGGTCGACATTCGGGAAGCCGAGGCAGCACACAAAGGGGGGGATTTACAGAAACTGCTAGCCGACGTACCGGATGACTTGGCAGCACTACTGAAGCAGTACAGTGGGATTTTCCCGGATGACCTACCGACAGGACTGCCACCTCAGAGGCCGCAGGACCACAGGATAGAGTTAGAACCGGGGGCACAGCTGACAGTACAGCGACAGTTCCGACTGACCCAACCCGAACTGGACGAGCTGAGGAAGCAACTAGACTACCTGCTCGAGAAGGAGTTCATTCGCCCGAGTTCGTCACCCTTCGCAGCGCCGATACTGTTCACACCGAAAAAGGACGGGGGTTTTCGCTTGTGCATCGATTATCGCGCACTGAACACGGTTACCATCAAATCCCGTTACCCCATCCCACGAGCCGACGATCTGATCGACCAACTGCGCACAGCCCAGATTTTCTCGAAAATTGACCTTCGAGGAGGCTACCACCAGATCCGAGTCAACCCACCCGACTGCCCGAAAACAGCTTTCCGAACACGCTACGGATCCTTCGAATACACTGTCATGCCTTTCGGACTGACCAACGCCCCCGCAACTTTTCAAATGACCATGAACGAAGCCTTCCGTCCGCTTTTAGATAACTGAGTCATCATGTACCTCGACGACATACTGGTTTACAGCCCAGACAGAGCACAACATCTACAGGACATTGAAGCAATTTTTAGAATACTGAGTGAGAACTGCCTACTGACAAAAGCATATAAGAGTGAGTTTTTACAGGATAGACTGGAGTTTTTGGGACACATTATTTCAGCTGAAGGAGTGGAAATAGACCCGAAGAAGATCGTGAGGATTCAAGCGTGGCACGCGCCGACAAACTTGACAGAGTTGCAGAGCTTTTTGGGGTTCGTCAACTACGTGCGCCAGTTCGTCCCCGACATGGCGAAGTTGACTGCTCCGTTGACCGACCTGCTGAGGAAGGGGGTTGAGTACACGTGGGGGGAGAAAGAGCAAGCTGCCTTCTCGGCCCTCAAACAAATTTTGTGCTCGCCGCCCGTGCTTCACATCGCAGATCCACACCGTCCGTTCGAGCTCGTCACCGACGCAAGTGACATCGCTGTGAGAGTTGTACTGTTGCAGGACTTCGGGAACGGCCTCTAGCCGATCGCGTACGAGTCCCGCAAGCTGCACCCGCCCGAACGCAACTACTCGATACACGACCGCGAAATGTTGGCGATCCTGCACGCGTTCAAAGTGTGGCGATGCTACCTGACTGGCGCCGACGTGACAGTACGGACAGATCACCGATCGCTACAGTACCTCCGCGCCCAACCGAATCTCAACCCGCGACAGATCCGCTGGCTGGAATATCTGGAGTCCAACTTCCACTACACAGTCACGTACAAAAAAGGCGCATCAAACATCGCAGACGCACTCACACGTCCTACCGCCCAACTCCACGCCATCCTACTCGCCCAAACCAACTCACTGTTAATAGGCCTATTCACCCATGGATACAGTACCGACCCGTTTTTTACGTTCGGAAATTCACAGCAACTAGCAGAAGCTAAGGGAGTCTATTACGTAAAAACAGGCACCAACCGCATTTGGGTACCCACGTACTTACTACTGGGGGAATTGTTACTGCAGGAGGCACACGACGGGATTACCTCGGGCCACTTCGGGGTAGAAAAAACGCGACAGCAACTGCAGCGGTATTACTACTGGCCGGAGCTGTTGACCGACGTACAGCACCACGTGGGCTCGTGTCCTACGTGTCAGGCGATGAAGAGCTCGCGAACGAGAAAGGCGGGTTATTTGCTTCCGATTCCACCGCCCGAGCGTGCCTGGCAGCAAGTTACCATGGATTTCGTCGCGGGGTTACCTTCGAACCCTGGGGGTAACAACGCAGTTATGGTCGTCGTTGAGAGACTGGCGAAAATGGCTCACTTCGATGCATGCAAGAAATCGATCTCAGCCGAAGAAATCGCTCGCCTGTTCATCGCAGCCGTCGTTCGACTGCACGGGATACCAGCCGCGATAATTAGCGACCACGACACGAAGTTCACCAGCAACTTCTGGAAGAACCCCTGGAGCAGTTCGGGACCAGGCTACAGTTCAGTTCATCGTACCACCTCGAGACCGACGGTCAAACGGAGCAGACCAATCAGACGATGGAGTAGTTGATTCAGGCCACATGCGACGACCCGACAACTTGGGAGCAGCAGCTGCCGCTGATCGAGTTCGCCTACAACAACGCCACATTAGCGACGACGCAACAGTCCCCGTTTTACCCGAACTACGGGCAAAACCCAACAGTGCCCATGACGCCGAGTCCGGACAACCCAACGCCAAGAGCACAGCAATTCGCCGAGATTTTGCAAGCTGCCCGCACCAGAGCCGCAGAAGCAATAAAAAAAGCCAACGCCATCGCTAAACGCAACGCTGACCGCCACCGCCGCCCAGTCACGTACCAGTTAGGGGATTACGTACTGCTCGTTACACAGAACTTAAGACTGCCCGTCGTACCGAAATTACGACCGTGCTACTGTGAACCATTTCAAATCAGCCACATGATTACCACAGCTACCGCCCACTTACTGCTGCCGACAGACTGGTACATCAGCCTATCATTCCACGTCAGCCTGCTTCGCCCTTACATCCCAAGCACGAGCCAACTGCCTCGTCACCGCCCGCCATCCATAACTCGCCCTGCATCGGAGCCGATCATCGAGCCCGAAAAAAATCTGAGCCATCGGATTCGCCACCCCGCAGGCATCAAGAGGATGGAGTTCCTCGTTCGCTGGAAGGACCGCACGCCAACTGAGGATAGCTGGGTGCCCCTGGCCAACATCGAAAACCACCCTGCCCTGCAAGTGTACATGAGGAGCCGGAGTTTCCGCGATATACACGCACTCGCGTAGCGGAGGGGGCTTCTTGAGGGGGGGGGGGGGGGGGGGGGGGGGGGGGGGGGGGGGGGGGGGGGGGGGGGGGGGGGGGGGGGGGGGGAGGGGGGGGGGAGGGGGTCGGAGATTTCGTGGATTGGATGCGAGGTGTGATTTTCGCGCCAGAATTTGTTGCAAGTTTGGTTGCTGATTGGCAGGAAGGAATATTGAAAACGCAAGATTGCAGGCAACAACGACGGCTGTCAGACAGATAATTGTGAGACCAATCAAATGAGTGAATTCGTCAAGTGCTTACCCGAGAAGGAATAACCACAAATGTTCAACACTATACGCTGCGTAGCTCACAGCAAGTGTAAGGAATTTTCTCGCTATTCCTTACCGCGACCGTCCACATCGCGTACAGCAGCAGCCGTTGTTCGCCCGTTACTGCTAACGGGGCTTCGCCAACTTCGCGCGCACTGTTTCACCAAACCTCGCACTGCTGGAGCAGCCGAGTCGGCCTACGCTTTGGGACTAGCCCGAACCTCGCGCCAGCATGGCACTAGCTAGCTCGCACGCACCGCGTTACCGTTTGCATATTTTCGCGTATAAGTATTCGCTCATGCCTTCGCTCATATTTTGTACTCACTGAACACTCTAGTGCAATCCTCGCTACCTCGATTCATTGCACCCGTAACTCTTACACCCTTTACACACTGTCATTCATAACAATAATATAAGACTAACGTGCAAAGGCAAACATATCCACCACAACAATGTATCCATGAATATGTTCATTCAGTTTAGTCATAGCCGAAATGCAGGCGGTATGATTGGGTTTCACCTGTCCATCCATATGTTCAAATAAGACATTGTTGGAATGCAAGCAGAGTTTAAGCGGTATTATTCGGTTTCACCTCTGGTCTTTAGGCTGAACTTATGTCATCTTATCCAAAAGTCAGTAAACCCTGTCTACAAAGTAGGCTTGATAACCTAGGATTCTACGTGACCACTAAAAGGTTGTTTTCATGGCCGCTTGGTGTGTAGACTATGGCCCTGCGTGGATCAACCTTCCAATTTCCATCCACAATGAATTTGACCTGCAGCAATGGATGGATACAATCATACCACATTAGAGCAAGTGCACGAGAATACGGATGCACACCTACACATACGAGTATTACGTAGCTTCCAAAAACACACACGTAAGTGCAACATCCACGAGATATGGTGCACTCCATAATGCCCTGCTTTATCTATAAATTGGTACAGTCTTGAGAAGAGCATGCATCGCAAGCGTTAGAGGTGCAAGAGGTTGGGATGGCAAGGAACATAAGTTAGTTGGTGAGAAGAAGCGTACCTCATATTGTCCGGGGTACAAATGAAGAGTTGTTACAAACACTCCAGCGTTTGACTTGACCGTCTTGATCTGCCATCCAGATCAAAGTTACAGATAAGCCGGAAGCAAGAACAAAAAAGAGAAATGAAGCAAAAAAAAGCACTCAAGACATGGACAAGCAACCATAGGTAGGAACCGGGTTGGGCCACACGACTCAATTTTGTGACATGTGTGACCTATTGGCCCATCCATAAATGGGTGGTCCACCCATGCATACCCGGTTGGTCCACCCATTGAAGGAGCCTGTGAGAAGCACCTCATTCCCGGGGTTGGGCCACACCACTCGAGTGGGCCTCAATTGCACATAAGCCACCTGCAGCTCCCCCAGCTGCTGATCCTTCTCCTCTAACACGCGCCTCGTCTCCCTGATGAGGGAACGAGAGGAGGGGAGGGGAAGGAGAGTGGCGGAACATGGGAAGGAGGGGGTTGTTGTTGGGCAATACACGACACAAGTGGGCCTCAATGGCACATAAGCCACCTGCAGCTCCCCCAGCTGCTGATCCTTCTCCTCCAACACGCGCCTCGTCTCCCTGCCAAGGGCGAGCACAGAGATGGAAAGGCTGGAGGAGCAAGGGCAGAGGGGTTGCGCAATACACCACGCCTGAACTCCGTGGCGCAGCATCCCTCCATCCTATCCCACTGCCTCATCCCTTACTGGCATCCTCCCACCCACGCCCCCACACGCGCCTGAACTTGGCAGAAAATCTGCCTTCAAGCGCTGTGACCTCGGCGCGAGTGGAGATCAGCTCTGCTCGTGTGCACAGCATCTCACCCTCCCTCCCACTCCTGTGTGCACAGCATCTCACCCTCCCTCCCACTCCTGTGTGCACAGCATCTCACCCTCCCTCCCACTCCTGTGTGCACAGCATCTCACCCTCCCTCCCACTCCTGTGTGCACAGCATCTCACCCTCCCTCCCACTCCTGTGTGAGCAGCATCTCACTCCAAGTTTCTACCCTCATCCATCCATCTCACTCCAAGTTTCTACCCTCATCCATCCATCTCACTCCAAGTTTCTACCCTCATCCATCCATCTCACTCAAAGTTTCTACCCTCATCCATCCATCTCACTAAAAGTTTCTACCCTCATCCATCCATCTCACTCGAAGTTTCTACCCTCATCCATCCATCTCACTCAAAGTTTCTACCCTCATCCATCCATCTCACTCAAAGTTTCTACCCTCATCCATCCATCTCACTCAAAGTTTCTACCCTCATCCATCCATCTCACTCAAAGTTTCTACCCTCATCCATCCATCTCACTCAAAGTTTCTACCCTCATCCATCCATCTCACTCGAAGTTTCTACCCTCATCCATCCATCTCACTCACCCAAAACAGACGTGGGCACAGCATCTCACTCTCCCTCCCACTCACCCTCATATTTTTTGAGACTATCTTACCCAGGCCCCCACACACTCCTTAACTCGACGAGATGACTTTTGAGTCGACTAAAAAAACTATCTTACCCAGCCCTCCCACTCACTCATATTTTTGGAGACTATCTTACCCAGCCCTTCCAGTCACCCTCACAATTTTTGAGACTATCTTACCCAGCCCTCCCACTCACCCTCACAATTTGTGAGACTATCTGACCCAGCCCTCCCACTCACCCTCACAATTTTTGAGACTATCTTACCCAGCCCACACGCGCACCTGAACTCGGCGGCGAATCTGCCTTCCAGAGCCGAGACCTCGGCCCGGGTGGAGCGCAGCTCTGCTCGCGTGCGCAGCATCTCACTCTCCCGGAACTCCAGTGAGTCTGTCAGCCGCAGCAGCTCACCCATGGTGCGACTGCGCATCTGAGCAAGGGAAGGGGGTGAGGAAGGGAGTGGGGGGTTGAGGCCAAGTGGAAAGAACAGCCTCTCACTCTCCCGGAACTCCAGTGAGTCTGTCAGCCGCAGCAGCTCACCCATTGTGCGACTGCGCATCTGATCATGTGGTGGGGAGTGGTGGAGAGAGGTGTGGAAGGGGGAGGAATGGGTGGCAAGGCGGGGGCAAAGCAAGAAAAGCCCCACCCACTCTCTCTGAACTCCAGAGAGTCTGTCAGCCGCAGCAGCTCGCCCAGCGTGCGACTGAGCATCTGATCATGCTCATGGGAGGGAGGGGGGGGGAGGCAGAGGTTGTGTGACAAGGTGTGGGGTAAAGGGAGAGCAACATGTGACTGCACAGCTGATTAGGTTCATAGGGGGAGGTAGGGAGAGGTGGGAAAAGGTGGGGAGAGGTGGGGAGGGATGAGAACAGGTGGGGAAAGATGGAAAGAGCGGCATCCTGGGAGGATGTGCGAGTGGTGAGACCACGACCCAGACCAACCACAAGATGACCTTGCGAGATACTCTTGCAAAATGCTTTTCTTTGATACAGATGAAACAGCCCATTAGCCACCCATTCCACCTCAGCACTGACATGTTCCACCTTGGAACTGACCTGTTCCACCTCAGCAGCACTGACCTGTTCCAGCTCAGCATCTCGTCGACTCAGCGCCTCCCTCCCCTGCCTCAGCGCTGCACGCGTGGCGGCCAGCGATTGCTCGAGGGATCGGATTCGCCCCGTCACCCCTGCCAGCTCATCTGGGTCGCGTCTCAGGAAGGCGGCAGCTGGGGGAGGCACAACTGGCGAAGCAGGGGGAGGTGGTAACCGGAACTTGCGCACTGGTGGCGAGGAAGGTTCCTTGCTCTGTGGTCTGTTTTCTGATGGCCGTTGCGACTCTCTCGGTACAGGCCCGGTATTTTCTGCGTCTTCTGCTGATGCTGCTGCTGGTGCTGGCAGTGGTGCTGGTGCCTCACGTGCTGCGTCTGCTTCTGCTGCCACCCCTGCTGTGATCCCTGGCTCCTCTGTTGCAGACGAGACGGAACCACGAGCGGCGGAAGTGGTAGGGGCTCGTGCTGGTGGTGATGGTGGTGGTGGTGATGGTTTTGGTGATGGAGGGAAGGCACCCACGAGGCGAGAAAGCACGGCTGCAGCTGAAGCAGATGTATCCTCACCATCAGTACCAACCCCTGATAGGTCAACAGCAGGAGACCTGTCACCACCAACACCAGCACCAGCATCAGTATCAGCACTACTAGCAGCGCCAGTCCCAGCGTCAGCACCAGCAGCGGGTGCATCAGTGCCATCAGCGTCCATCCCTGCGTTGCCTCTCCTCCCCACCGTTCCCTCACTACCTTTCCTCCCCACCACCCCCTCACTACCTTTCCTCCCCACCGTCCCCTCACTACCTTTCCTCCCCACCCTCCGCCTCCTCTTCCTCACAGCAGGCTCATCTGGGGAAGGCACCACCTCCTCTTGCACGCCACCTGCTGCCTGGGCCTGGGAGGTAGGCTCTATCTGAGCTTGGGGAGGGGGAGGTGTTATCTGGTCCTGTGAGGGCTCTCTAGCTGCACCAGGCCCCCAGCTGTCCCTACAGCTGTCCCCGCAGAAATCCCTGCAGCAGTCCCTGCAGCAGCACCAGTCCCTGCAGCAGTCCCTGCGGCAGCAGCTATGCTGCCAGCGCCAGCTTCCAACCCCTCCAGCCTCTTTCTGAACGCCATCAGATTCGCCAGGCTGGCACTAAGCGCTGCATCAAAGCCGTCCAAATTCCCCACCGTCCCCTCCACCACCCTCGCTCCCCCCACCCTCCCCTCCCCCACCCTTTCCTCCCCCACTCTCCCTTCCACCACACCCCCGTCATCCACTCTCCTCCTCTTCTCTTCCTCCTCTGCTTCCTCTCTGCTCGCCTTCTCCCCCTCGTCCTTCCCCGTGGCCCCCCCAACGCCCCCTCCACCAATGCTTGGCCCCACACCAGGCTCCTGTGCTGCCTCCCTCCCTGCCTCCTCAGCTCGCCCCTGATTCTCTGGCGGGGTTTTTCTAGGGCGCCCCACTGGTCTCCGAGGCTGCAGGGGGGAAACGAGGGAGTGGGGGGAAGACGACAGGACGCGGAGAGGAAGAGGAGGGAGGGAGGGAGGGAGGGAGGGAGGGAGGGAGGGAGGGAGGGAGGGAGGGAGGGAGGGAGGGAGGGAGGGAGGCAAGGAGTGTGGCTGAGAGACAGGCAAGAGAGTGTGTTTCCTCTTCTGACGCCTTGACCAATGCAAGAGCTCTCTTGAGACAGAGTGCCGCTGTTCAGGCTGACTGAATCGCCAAAGAAAAGCATCCGCGTTAGCATGACTGCTCATTGCAAGTGAGCACTCAATAAACTTTAGGAGCCTATAAAATTCACATGACTGCTCCTTGCTGAGCTTTTGAGGTGACGCAGGATTATTCCCTGTGATTTCACCCAACCATAACACTCACCATGAAACTTATTTGTTAGACCACCTTATCTCATACCAAATGGTATTGTATCAGATTTATCATATCGCACCAAATCGTATCCCATCCCATTCCATCATATCATATCATATCATATCATATAATATCGTATCGTATAGTATCACATCGTATCGTATCATATCATATCATATCCTGAAATATCATATCATAACATCTCATACCATACCATATCACACCAACCATAACACTCACCATGAAACTTATTTGTTAGACCACCTTATCTCATACCAAATGGTATTGTATCAGATTTATCATATCGCACCAAATCGTATCCCATCCCATTCCATCATATCATATCATATCATATCATATAATATCGTATCGTATAGTATCACATCGTATCGTATCATATCATATCATATCCTGAAATATCATATCATAACATCTCATACCATACCATATCACACCACACCACACCACACCACACCACACCGCACCGCACCCCACCATACCATACCATACCATACCATATCATATGACATGTCATATCATATCATATCATATCATATCATATCATATCATATCATATCATATTGTATCATATCATAACACATCATATCATATCATATCATACCACATCACACCGTACCGTACCGTACCATACCATTCCATACCATACCATCTCATATCATACGACATATCATATCATATTATATCGTACCATATCATCTCATATCATATCACATGACCCGCCAACCAAGCGCCCACCTTAACAGGACTGCTCATTACAACTGACTCCTCCGGTACAGCCCCAGCTCCACCCCCTTCAATCCCACCCTCGCCCTCATCCACCCCCTCCCCACGCACTCCGCCTCCCTTCCCCTCCGCCCCCCCTGCTGCCCTCCCCCTCCTCCGCCTACCCAGCCCCATGAACCTCGCCACAGCACTCCACCCCATGCCCCTCCCCACCGCCACTCCTTCCCCCCCCACCCCACCTCCTGCGTCCTCTGCTGCCCCCTGCCCTGCTTTACCTCCGCCCATCCCGCCCATCCCCCGCACTTCCTGCCCCGCCCCTGTCCCTTTCGGCCAACTCTCCTCCGCCCCCTTCCGTCCCCATTGCACCTCTCCTCCCCCCTCCCCTTCCCACCCTGCTCCTCCCCCCACCTTCCCCTCCCCGTCCTGCCCTGCGCCTGCCCCTGCCTGCCCATCCCCTGCGCGCCCTGCCCCTACCCCCGCCTGTTCCCTCGCCAGCTGCCTGAGTGCGGCTGCCAGGTCGCCTCGCCCCGCTTGTCTCAGCTGCTCCTGTGTCGGCATGATGCCTGTCTGCCCCGCCGCCACTGAGAACGCTTGCAGCTGTTGCCGCAAGTTAGCAGGGCTGGGAGGGGAGGAAAGGGAGGAAAGGGAGGAATGAGGGGGGACGGAACTGAGGATTTCCCCTCGCCCTGCGAGCTTTAGCTGCTCCTGCGTCGGCATGATGCCCGCCTGCCCCGCTGCGACTGAGAACGCCTGCAGCTGCTGCCGCAGTGCAGCAGGGCTGGGATGGGCCAGGGGAAAGAGGGGAAAAGGGGACACGTGAAGGAGGACGGGGGGAGGGGAGAGGGGGAGGAAAGCGGGAAAGGGGAAGGGGGAAGGGGGAATGCACTCAGGCATGCACACGTGCACAAAGGCATGCACTCGAGCATGCACACAGGCGCGTACTCACGCATGCACACAGACATGCACACAGGCACGCACTCACGCATGCACACACACATGCACACACACACGTACTCGAGTGGGAGATTCTCCTCCTCCACTTTCCTCCTCTTCCCACTCGGTCGCCTCCTCCTCCTCCTCTTCCGCTTCTCCCCCTCCTCTCCACTCCCATAACCCCTCCTCCCACCCCCCCTCCACGCCCTGCTTCCCCCTCCGTCACCGGCAATCGTCCCCCTCCCACCCTTACCCTCCCTTTCCTCACCACCACTCCCCTCACCATCACTCACACCCTCACTCTCACTCCCACTCTCCTCCCCGCCCCGCACCCTGTCCTGCTGCCTGTTCCCATTGCCCCCACGCTTGCTCCCCTGAACCCCATACCCCCTCTCCTGGCCCTCTCGCGCACTGCCTGGTTCGCTTGCAGCAGGGTCAACCAGAGAGCCGGCAGCGGGATTGCCTAGAGCCCCTGCACCGGAATTGCCCAAAGGGATTGCAGCGGGTTTTGTTGGCGCTCTTGCAGTGCGATCGCCCATAGAGGTAGAGGTAGAGGTAGAGGTAGAGGCGGGGTCGCTGAGAGACGTGGGGGTAGGGGTAGGGGGAGAGGAAGCGGTGGGGTGCCATTGAATGGCAGGCAGGCCCAGCTGCTGGAAGAGCACAGACAGGCGCATCTGCGCGCCCTGCACCACACTTGGAGACACCTTCCCCTCGCCGTCCGAGCCTGACGTGCTTCCCCGCCTCCCAGACACACTCCCCTCCCCGTCTGACTCTGATAAGCTCGTTCTTATCCCGCTTTCAGGCACGCCCCTTTCCCCGCTTGTAAACGCCCTCGCTTCCCGGTCTAAGGCTGACGCTGAGCCTGAGCCTGAGGGTAAGGCTGACGCTGAGCCTGAGCCTGAGGGTAAGGCTGACGCTGAGCCTGACGATGAGTCTCCTTCCCTTCGTGAAGTGCGACCTCTGCCCTCGTCTGAACCGGAATCCTCCTCCTCCTCTGATGACGCAGAGAATTCCTCCCACTCGCTGCTGCTTCCCCCCTCCCCCTCTGACCAGCCCTCCCCCGCTGACCATACTTCTTCCTCCTCTGACGAAGAGGACGCGTCCTCGTTAGAAGCCTCGAGCGCCCAAGATAAGGGCTCCGGAAACGACTTACGCGAGGAGAAGGGAGGGGCAGCGGCGGGGGAGAATCTGTAAGAAGGACCCGAGGCAGGTGGACGGGGAGGGGGAGCGGCAGGCGGTGGAGCAGAGGCGGGAGCAGGAACACGGGCAGAAGAAAGAGGAGCAGGAGCAGGGGCACGGGCAGAAAAAGGAGGGACAGAAACAGGGGCACGGGCAGGTGAAAATAATCGGGGTGTGGGCTGTGGGGGCGTGTCAAGCCCCGGCATCACATCCGCTCGCCAGTTCGCTGCTCCTGCCCCTGCCCCACTCATTGCCCCGCTCGTTGTCCCACTCGTTGCTCCTTGCCCCACGCCACCCGCGCTTCTACCGTCCGGCCTCCCCATACGTGTTCCAGACTCTGACCCCATTCCTCCTCCTCCGCCTCCCCCTCCTCCTACCCCTCTTGGCGTGTCCCCCTCTCCCGCGCTACCCGCTCCTGGCCAACCCTTGCCTCTGCTATCCGCTTCTAGGGGAGGGACGCGCGAAGAGGGCTGGGGGATGGGCGGAGACCGCGGGGGAATGGGCGGGGAGGGCGGGGAGAGCATGGCGGACCAAAACGCTGACTCTGAATCCACTCCGTCATCCACTGTTTCCACCTGCCGTTGACTCCGTTGACTTGAGCTGCTCAGTTGACTTGCAGCCCGTTGACCCGGTTGACCCTCCCTGCCATTCCCACGCCTTTCATCCCTCCCACTAGCCTCTGGCCTCCCCCATCCGCTAGTTACATTGCCGCTAGTTACACTTCCACTCCCCGCACTCCCCACTGCATCCTCCCACAACCATCCCTCCTCAACCCCTTTCCCCCGTGCTTCCACCCCCTCTGCAGCATTTCCTCCCCCATTCCCCTTCCCCGCTTCCCCTTTCCCCCCATCCCCCGTCCCCGCATCCGCCGCCCCCGCGTCCCCCACGTCCCAGCCGGCGCTGAGCCACCCGCCGTCCGCCAGGCAAGCCGCCACGAGGTCGTGCCGGCCGGCGGCGAGCAGCTCGCGGCGCGTGGGGAAGCGGTCCGGGTGACCGTTGGCCACCATGAACTGGAAGATCGCCACCTCCAGCTCCACGCCGCCCTCCCACGCCGCGCCGGCTCCCACGCCGCCTCGCACGCCGCCATCCACTCTGCCTCTTCCACTAATGATGCCGCTGCTGCCGCTGTTGCTGCTGCTGCTGCCGCTGCTGCCACTGGTTCTGCTTATGTTGCTGCCACTGTTGCCGCTCATGCTGCCACTGCTGCTGCTGCTGCTGCTGCTGCTGCTGCTGCTGCTGCTGCTGCTGCTGCTGCCACTGCTGTAGCCATTTGTAGAACCTGAGGCAGCAGGTCTCAAACCATACCCGTTACTAGAGCTTCCGCTAAACCCAACAATACCGGAGCTGTTCCTACCATTACTGCTGTAGTCGCCTGTTCCCGAGACCGCATTGACAACCAGCCCGCTTCTCTTAAGTCCCGGGGAACCAGCATCTTGTATCGCGTACGGTGCTTTTCTTTTATTCGGAAAACAGAAAGGGTTTGCCTGAAGAACATCCCTGTGCCGAATGCCTCGTCTCCGTTCCAACCGCGCAATCCCCGAATTCTGCGTCACAAGGTGCCTCGTTATAAGAGTTAACTGCCGTCCCTTCCAGTGGCGACACGCTCGCGACTCACAGCCACAGATACGCGAACATCGTGATTCATCGCGAGAGGATTGACCAATCAACAAGCCGTTCAGCGACCTGCCTGAAAATATAGGCCGTTGGACTGATCCCAAAACAAAAGCCCGCGGGGAATTCGCAATACCAGCAGGCTGGAGAAACGCCGAACGAGCTTGCGACCAATGGGGAGTTCGACCCGCCACCCGGACAGTACTATGTGACCGACACATGGCAGCTGCTGGGGTGTGCCAGCTGGCTCCTGTTGCTAAGTCCATGGGGCCTCCCGAATCTCGAGGCCCCAACTGTCCGATGCGAGCTAAACTGCGCAGTTTCGGTGGACATGCATCGGCCGCTGATATGAGCAACCTATGTGATTCGTATGACAGGAGGTACTACTACTATGCAGCTGTCGGAAGCAAGGGAGACACGAAGTACGCGTGACGGGGTTGTGAAAGGTATGAAACGTATGACAAGGTATGATGCAGCTTGATCTCGCTGCATGATTAGATTCGCTCGCTTTTCTCCGTAGGAGGCTGCATTCTCCAGATAATCCTCCTCTTGAGCGGTCACTGAGAATTCTAAGAGGTCATTGAGAATTCTTAGCGGTCATCGAGAATTCTTTGGTCTCTCGCAAGGGCTTCAGTTCGGTACGTCGATGTGAGATTCTTCACTGGGAGTGAGATTCCATACTGTCAGTCAGAATGCTGTCCATAGTACCCATTGAAACAACTCGATACGAGCATACCCTAGAAACTATCCCCCTACACCCCTCAATATGCTTCCGTTAGAGATCGTTTCAGCGATTTGTTTAGGAACTTCTGTGGGAAGCCTCAAGGCCCTAAAAGTGCGATGAGAATCCACTTGACCTCTTGCTAGACCGAAACGCAACTGGAAGCGAGTTTTCGGACTCTAGACACGAACTTCTGCGACTACCGCAAAGGTAAGACACCCGCGATCTGGCATACTCTAGGTATGAAGCAGACGGAGTGGCACTGCGCTCCCGATGCTCCGGTATGAAGCTAATTGAGTTTCCGAATTGGAGCTTTCGAAAATGGAGCACGTACTAACTTGCACTAAGCAGCTACGAGCCACGGGAAGCGAATGACGGAAGCCTGCTCCATTCAGGCAAGTAGAATGCTCTCTGCCTTGCCGCACTAGTCCAACAGGACCAGTCTTGAGAATTTATGATCTCAGGATTCCGCCAGAGGGTGTTTGAAGGAGGAGATTCTGCAGCACAGAAGTTGGCGCGTTCCAGAAGCTATATGTTTCCTGATTGCCTAGCCAACCGACCTGGACAGCATAATGACCCTGCTCACACGCAAATTACCACATTAGAACGTATTCAAACGAACTCATGCTCCTCCTGCAATGCAGCCATTAGTGGGCCCCAACCCCAAGCAGTGGTCGATGAGCACTTCTTGAAATGCTAGCCAGCTTCGCGAGCTGACGAGGAGGTGGCGAACTTTCGCGAGGCCATGTGAAACCACAAACTCCTTTACTGTACTGTTCTACACCTTCCACAGATCGCGTTGGTAGGGTCAGATTGATCACACACGAGGCAATGGTCGTTACAGTACCTGCGAGTGGAGTCTTGGCTTGTATTGCCACGTGGAAGCTTGATCAAGCCGTGTCGAAATGACATGTGGTCCAGGTTTTGCTGACAAGATCCAGCGCCCAGCAATCGAAGGACAGCAGCAAAGACTCGACACGCTGGATCAGCGTCAGCGAAGTGTGACCACACGAGCCTGCTTGTTCCGGTGTTGGCCACACGCGTCAATTTCATGGTGCGCATTGATTGCATAACGTTCTATGGTACACCACTCAAATTCAAAGACGGCCTACATCGAATTAAAACAGCATTGACACACAATAATTGCTTCATCCAACATGCAAGCTGCATGCTGTTGGTAGACCAGTTAGTAGCAAGATTAACAAATATCATAATCCATTTCATGAAAGCACTTGAAAAAGGGCATTCAACCATGCACCTTTTTTTCTGCCATGCGTCTCTGGAGCTCCTTCCGAAGACTGCAAGCCAGGGGAAACAACAGGCCATGCGAGGGGAAACAATGAACATTGTATATGGCATAGGGAGTGCAGAAAGGGACAAATTGAACAGAAGATGAACAAAACAGGAACGCCTCAATTTCACTGCAAAACATCCCAATTCACAAAAACAATGAAAGGATACTTGCTGTTTCACATACCCTTGCTCGCGCTCTAGTCGACGAATCTCCTTTTGCTCCTTTTCCTCCTCCTCGTGCTGCTTCTGCTCCCTCCCGCCTCGTCCTCGCCTCCCCCCATTCCTCTCCTTGCTACTCCCGCGACCCTCCTCACTCTCACTCCCACTCTCACTCCCTCCCACACGCCCATGCTCGGTCCCACCTGCATCCCTCTCCCCGTTCCATCTCTCATCCTCACCCCCATCTCTTCTCTCACCACCACCCCCGTGAACCAACCCCTCACCACCCCTCTGAACCGCCCCTCCTCCCACACCACCCCCCCCCTCATCCATCTCGTCAGCCCCACGCCTGGCCCTCTTCCTTTCCCCTCCTCTCTCCTCCCCGCCATTCCCCTTCACCCCCTCTCCCCGCCCATCAGACCCTTCCGAATCAGAATCACCTGACCGCCCTCTGCCTCTTACCACATCTTCCCCAATCCCTTCTCCCACAACCCTCCCCTTCCGCTCAGCCCTCCTCTCGACCTCATGCCTCCCCTCCGCTCTACCAGGGCTGGGGCTGCGATTCCCGGCCCCTCTCCCGTTGGGGCTAGGGCTAACGCTGCCTTTTCCTCCTCTCCCTCCTCTCCCTCCTCGCCCACTGGGACTCGGGCTTGGGCTGCGCCGGCGGCCCATGCGTTTAGGGCTGGGGCTGCGTCCCCCTCCTCTCCCTCCCCTCCCCCTAGAACCAGGGCTGATGCTGCCTCTCCCTCCTCGTCCTCCTCGTCCTCCTCGCTCCCGGGGGCTAGGGCTGGGGCTGCGTCGGTGCCCCATGTGTTTGGGAGAGGGGCTACGCCCACGCGGCCGGGGACTGATGCCTCGGCCCCTCGGACTAACCCCCCTCCGCCTTCCACCCTCCCCCTCCCTGCCTCGCCCAGGACTCTTCCCCCTCTCCCTGCTCGCACTGCCACTTCGGCCCCTCCTGCTGTCCGCTGCTCTCCCTCTGGGACTGGGACTGGGGCTTCTGTGGGCCCTGCGGTGAGCTACCCCCCTTCGCTCAGGGCTCCTTCGGAAACTACCCCGATAAGGGCTCCGCTCCCTCCCTCTCTCAATGCCGCCCCGGCCCCTATACGGACTCCCCCCATCCCTGCCCCTATAGGGGCTCCGCCCATCCCTGCCGCTGTAAGGGCTCCTCCTGCCCCTCCCACTGTCCCTGCCACCATCGTTCGGCCGTGACCGGGTGGTGGGGCTAGGGCTGGGGCTGCGGTGTCGCCTCATCACCCCATGCCTAGGGCTGGGACTGCGTTGCTGCCTTCTTTGCACCCTGGGACTTGGGCTGCGGCGGCCAGGGCTGCGGCTCAAGCTTCTGCCAGGGCGTCTGGCAGGGCTGCTGCTGCCCTCACGTCTGCCCCTCCTTTCCATGCCCCTCCTCTCGTCGTCCCTCGGCCTTCTCTCATCCTCCCGTCCGTGCTCCCTGCCTCCGGCCGCACGCATTGCAGCAGAGCGCCCTCTCTGGTTTCAGGACAATGGGAAGGATGACAACAGGAAGAGAAAAGGATGGGCGAGAAGGGAATACGGATGTGAGGACTCAAGAAGAGCTGCTGCAGCGCAGCATATAAACCTTCAAAACCGCACCTGTGTCGAGTCACCTAAATTGCTGCTTTGTCGAATCACCTGAGCTGCATAACCTTGAGCTGCCCTTTTCACACCGTCCCAAGGCATCTCACCCCAAGGCAGCTCACCTTATTCAGCAGCATCGCACCTCATCAAAGCAGTATCTCACCTCATCCAACCGCATCTCACCTCATCCAGCAGCATCTGTCGCAGCCTCTGTGCTTCTGCTGCCACCTCGTCTCCTCGCCTCCTCTCCTCCTCCACCCTCCTCCTCTCCTCCTCCTCCCTCCTCTCCTCCTCTTCCTCCTCTATTCGCATCCTCTCCATCCTCTCCTCCTCCTCTATCCTCTCCCTCTCCCTCCGCTCCTCCTCCTGCACCCTCCTCTCTTCCTCCTCCTGAGCCACACAGAGTTAAAAGACAAACAGAAAGACAGTGCCGAAAAATGCAGACAGTCACAACAAAGAGAAAGAGGGGAAAAACGAAATGGAGGACGCATACAGGCAAGTGGACAGAGAATGCTCTTACACTCAGCTGGATTCCTCTCACACACACATACATGCTGCTGACACAATCGAAGTGAAAGACAGAGATGGAATGAGAGAACGACACAAACACAAATTACCAAAACCAGCTTAGTCATACTCGAAAAGGAGGGAAATACTTATTTGAAAAAAAAAAAGGGTTTAGGAAAGAGAGAGAGAGAGACATCAATCATCCTAGTAACAGCAATGCCTCACCTCCAGCCGTCGCCTCTCCTCCTCTTCCTCCAACTGCCTCAACCTCTCCGCCTCCTCCTCCTCCTCCCTCCGTCGCTGCTCCTCCTCTTCCCTGCAAACGGGATTGGGAGGGGGCGGATGTGCTAGGGTAAATTGCACAACAGCGAGAAGAGGAGGACCAAGGGTGAAAATCGGCGGGAAGGAAGGACGATGACAAACTAAGGAGCAATGAGACGAGGATGAATGAAGCAATTTGACAGTGGGAGAGGGCAAGCGGCAGGTCAATTTTGGGGGAAAAAAAAAGGAAAGAAAAGGAAATAATGGAAAAAAGGCTTGGATGAAACCGAAGGGATAAACGGATTTTTCGAGACATCTCAACACTCCCTGTAACCTCCCCCCCCACCCCACCAATTCCCCTCCCCCAGAAACACCTGCCACGTAAGCCTCACCGACGAACCCTCTCTTCCTCCTCTCGCGCCTTCCGCTCCTCCTCCTCCTTCCTCTCCCTCTCCGCCCGTTCTCTCTCCGCCTTCCTCCGCTCCTCTCGCTCCCGCTGCTGCCTCTCCTCCTCGGCTCGCTGCTCCCTCGTGAATCGCCTCCTCCGCACGTTCCGCTTGTCGAAGTAATCTCCACCGTCGATCACCAGCTGTACTCTCGCCAGAGATAACGATCCTTCCTGCAAGCAACCAATCAAGTGGGTGCAGGGGGGGAGGGAAGGAGGAGAACAGGGACATGAAGGAGAGCCGCACGTTCCGCTCGTCAAAGTAATCCCCACCGTCGATCACCAGCTACACTCTCGCCAGGGACGACGATCCTTCCTACAAGGCAGCGTTCAAGTGGAAAATCAGGAGGGGGAAGGGGGTTATGGGGGGAGGGGGGAAGGGGGTTATGGGGGGAGGGGGGAAGGGGGTTATGGGGGAAGGGGGGAAGGGGGGGGGGGAGGGATTGGTGGTTAGGGAGCAAAGAAGGGGAGCTGCACGTTCCTCTCGTCAAATTAATCCCCACAGTTGATCACCAGCTGCATTCTCCACAAGGAATCGTTCAAGTGAAAATTCAGGGGAAGGGAGAGAGGGGTGGAGGGGGGAGGGGAGGAGAGGGAGAGGGGTGGAGGGGGGGAGGGGTGGAGGGGGAGAGCGGTGGAGGGAGGGAGGGGTGAAGGGGGAGAGGGGTGAAGAGGGAGAGGGGTGGGGGAGAACGGGGACATGAAGCAGAGCCGCGAGTTTTTATAGTCAAAGTAATCCCCACCGTTGATCTCGAGCTGCACTCTTGCCAGAGACCACGATCCTTCGTACAAGAGAGGACTATTGTGAAACTGAGCTGCACGCCTCAAAGAGACCACGAGCCTTCCTATAAAAGATCGTGGGAAACTGAGAAAAAGAGAGGGAGGGGTTTGATGGGGAGGGGAGGGATGGGGGGGAAGGGAGCAATGAGAAGGAGTCGCACGTTTCCCTCGTCTAGAGCCCCACCGTAAAGCACAAGCTGCACTCTCGCTAGGGACCTGTGAGTGAGTGGGTGCTGTGCGTGTGTGTGCTGGGAATGTGTGTGTGTGCGAGTGTGTGCGTGTGTGTGTGTGTGCGAGTGTGTGCGAGTGTGTGCGTGTGTGTGTGTGTGTGCGAGCGCATATCACTCTCTCTCACCTTCTTCACAGCGTGTCGAGCCAGCGCCTTCACTGCGTCACAGAACGTGCTGTGGCTGCCGAACCTCACCATCACGTCCGTCTCCAGCTTCAGCGCCAAACCTGCTCCCAAACCTAATCCCAAACCAGCCCTCCCCGATGCTGCTGCACCAGCAACCCCCAGGGTTCGTCCTTGTGTGACTTTAGCGGAGGGGAGCTCCTCGTTGGGGTCTAGAAGCTCGATGTTCCTGTAACGAGGGAAGTATTCCAGAAGAAGAATGAAAGCAAATGACGGATTTTGAGACGCTCTGTAAGCGCTTTGTTTGTGTAGCGAGAAAGGATTTCCAATAAGGAGCATCTGGCGATGCATCCGATAAGCCTGCCTGATGCTTCACCTGATCGTATCACCTGATGTTGCACCTGTTCAATTCACCTGATGATCTCACCTGATGGTACACCTGATATTGCGCCTGGTGGTCCTACCTGACGGGACCAAACGAGGAGAAGACGGTGTGGGCGATCAGCAGCGACGGCTTCGTGGAAACCCGCTCTTCCGCCAACCAGCGGCACGGAATGCCGCATACCCTCAGCGTATCCGGGCGTTTCTCCGATCCACCCTTTCTTCCGGAATCGTCTGCCAACCAATCGCGCATCAGCTCGCCATAAGACGGTGAATCTGCTGACTCAGCATGACAGGTAATTCGAGCCGCGGAAACCCTAGTTTCCCAACTTCCGAAGTTAGAGACCACAGAAGATGCTACGGATTCTCCTGAGGGTCCCCATAATAGCAGCGTCGCCACGGCGATTGGCTCGCCACGTGTGATCTTATCGAGGTTCTTCGTCCAGGAAATCGTGAGATCTTTCTCGTTAAAAGACGGCCAATTGGACGCCGACGCGTGGGATCTGTATTTCGCCTCGATCGCCTCGCGCAGCTCCCATTGGTTGACGAGCTTCGGTAACCCGTCTTGTCGCACGAAGGAGAGCGAGATCGCACGGTACGGCACAAGCGAGAGGCCATGCCCGACACGCAAGTCTGAAATATCTTCCTTCTCTTTCTGAACCAGCACGGGAACTAGGCTTGTCGCCATAGCTCCGCCGTCTCACGACGCACGAGTTTTAGGTCAGTAAACTACCTCCCTACAAGATACTAGCATCTGGAGTCTAGACACGTTCTCAGCCGAGCCGACTCCTGGTCCTGGACTGGATTGACTGGACAAATTCGAAGGAGAGCAGGAGAGCACGACTGACTGGCTGTGCAACTGCAAAGCACTTGCGCGAAAAGTGGGTTATTTGGAAAGTTTTGATTTGTTAAAACTTTGGCCCCAAATTTGTGAACCAATCAGAAAGGCCCGTTTTGTATCGACTGCAAAGCACTTGTTCTACTTGAGACCCTTACTTTGAGGCAGATCAGTCCAAACCAGCTTTGCAATAATCGCTTTAGAGTACACTGCGATACAACACGTAAAAGGTAAAATAACTATCTTAGAACAATAACGATTCACTGGTAAATAAATGTGCTGGTCAGATCAGTTTGCGCATCACAATCCCTGATATCCAGCCAATATTTAGAAATCCGAGGTGCACGTTTAAGGCAGGTGACAAAGGATAGCCCCGTCGAAGTGAGGAGGCGGCCTGAACTAGACAATCAGGCATCTAAGTGGCAACTCGATGTAAGCATGAAATGGGATTAGTCAGCACAGGGGAGGGAACATTCAAGTTACAAGGGAGTTCTGTCGTACAAGAGGGCTTAACCGAGACAGATGGAAGCCTGACTAAGGCCTTAAGGGGCACAATCAGGTGTACAATACCAAATCAAGGGAGAAGAGCATTGAGTCGAGGAGAAAATGTGTTTTAATCAAGTACAAGCATTGTCTCAGTGGAGGTAGAAGAGCATGATGATCTTGCCCATGTCCTTGGCCTCCTGGTCCTGGCATGTCTCCATGAGCAGCCGGCTGTCGTGGAAGGAGATGACTTTCGAGTCGACACAAAGTCAGTTTGAGCCGACCCCAACGGGTGCTTAAGAGCAGGAGCGTTCTAATCGAGGTAGAAGAGCGTGACGATCTTGCCCATGTCCTTGGCCTCCTGACATGTCTCCATGAGTAGCCGGCTGTCGTGGAAGGCAAAGCAGATCACATGCTCCACCTCCGATAGAATGTCCATGTTGCACAGCCTGTCAGCACGAGGGAGTTGTTTGTCATGGGGTTTGAGGGGGGTACAGGGCTTTAAGGAACAAGGGGTCCCAGTTGTTGTGGAAGGTGAAGCAGATGGCATGCTCCAATGCCCATGTTGTGCAACCTGAGCGGCACATGGGGTGGAGGGCAGGGAGAGGATGTTGTGGGAGAGGGCTGAGGGGTGAAGGGATAAAGGTGCGGAGTCAGGAGGAGCAGAAAGGGGAGAGAGGAGGAATCGGAGGGAGGGGGGCTGAGGTGATGTAGTCCTTTGTGAGATTTTTATGAGAATTTTCAAAAATCGCTCGCAGACATGGCGTGAAGGGTGGTAGTGCGAGTGAAGGGCTGACATGGTGAGAATGAGCAGAACATCCATGGCGCCAAGGCTGACAAGGGTGTGAATGTGCATGCTGCGTGCAGCCTGCACTGCATGGGAAGGGCCAAGGGGTGAAGGCGAAATTGGAGTGACTTTTAAGAATTCTCAAGAATGACTCGAAAATAGACAAGGCGAGAACTTTCACGTTGCATGCACAAGGCACTGCATGGAAAGGGGCGGGGAGGGGAAGAATGGCTTGGGAGGGAACAGGGCGAAGTAAGGGGGAAGGGGGGATGGGAAGGAAGGGGAGAACGGGGAAAAGGGACGGAAAAGGTTGTCTCAGCGTTTGAGATATCTCAGAACTAGGAAAATTTATAGTGAATTTCTAGGCTTGTTGGGTTGGGGGTATATTTTTTGCATGGAAACCAGCCCCTTACCTGCTGGCTTCGAGCAGTGGCAGATGGTCGTTGTGTGGCTTCTCCACCAGATTCTCCACCTGGCAATACATGCGCAGCACAGGGGGGGGAAGGCAGATTGGGGGAAGAACATGGGAGACGGGTATGGGGCAAAGAGATGCAGAAAGGGTTGAATATGGGTTAATATACCAGCAGCAGTTGCAAGGTAAGTGGGCAGACAAATAGACGATCCATCATGCCCCTTTAGCCACCTCAATTCTCACCTTCTCACCACCTCACAATCTTACATTCTCATTTCTCATCATCGCCACCACCCCCTGCCTCTCCAGCACCTGCTTGCCCCAACCGTCTTCGTAACAACAAGCTGTAGCCAAACCAGGACACTGCAACCAGTAAAAAGAGCCCTCATCCTAAGACGCTGCCTCCTCACATTCTCCACTCACGTTCTCGATCCCCCTCCTCCCCCCCTTCCTCTCCCCACCCCCTTCACACCTTCTTAAGCAGCTCCTGGTTCTCTCTCAGGCGGCTGCTTGCCCAGCCGTGGGAGCAGGATGACGGTCAGCAGCTCCTCCCTCTCGCCTTCTTCTCCCCTTCCCTAAACCCTGAACCCCTTTCACCTTCTCGACTCACCTTCTTGAGCAGCTCCTGGCTTTCAGGCGGCTGCTTGCCCAGCGACTGCGGCAGGATGACGGTCAGCAGCTCCGCCTTCTCCGCCCTCAGCGCCCCGCGGATCACTGCCGCGTTCGTGCCCGCTGCCCCCGACGTGTAGATGTGGTTGTTCTGCACGCAAGGTGAGGAAGAGGGGGACGGGGAAGGGGGGGACCAAGAAAAGTTGGGGGTGGAGGGGGAAGGGGAGGGAGGGGGGAGATCAGAGAGGGGAAGAGGGTGGGAAGAGGAAGGAGGGAAAGAGGGAAGGGGGCGTTTATTGAGGGAGGATCGGAGGAGGGGACAGGGTTTATCCACCTGTCAGGGGAAGTGAGAAGAGCCGGAGTGGCGAGAAGGGGAGAAGGGAGAGGGGGATTGGGGAGAGTAAGAGTAGGGAGCGGGTATTGATTATCACACAGCACAGAACAGGAATCACACAGCCTTCATCTCACAGTGATGATAAATTCTGGAAATTCTCAAAAGCGACTCACAGTGATGATGATGGCATAGCTGAGGATCTTGATGAGCTGCTGATGCATGGAGCCCATATTGCGCGTGCCAAAGAAACACTCGATTCAGCCCCACTCAGTCTCAGATCACATACCGTGATGATCATGGCATAGCTGAGGATCTCATTCAGCTGTTGGTGCACGAATCCCCTGTTGCCACAAAAATACCTGATACAGCCCCATTGATACCACACCAAAAACAGCCCGCATCTCACTCACCGTAATAATCATGGCATAGCTGAGGATTTCAATCAGCTGCTGGTGCATGAAACCCATGTTGCGCGTGCCAAAGAAGCCAATGTTCCGTGGCCCCGACTGCTGGATGGCCAGCAGCTCCTGCAGGTAGTCCACGTCCGGGGGGCTCCTCTGCGTCTCCGCCACCAGCGTCGTCGCCCCTGTAGTGATCGCCTCCAGCTGCGTCGGCAAGTCCTCTGTGAACATCCGCACCTCCATGCCTCTGTCCATGCCCCTCCCCTGCCGCATCTCCATGCCCCTCCCCTCCAGCCTCCCTGCTAGTCTCCCCTCCTGCCTTCGCTCCAAATCTCTTTCCCCACATGCATCTTCATCCAAAGCAGCTGCTCTCGAATTCGAGCCTCCTGCAGTGGTGGCTTGCGGTCTCACGGGACGGGCACCCTGTGTACCGCGGGTACCGTGGTTGGAGTCAAAGGAACGGCCATGCTGCGGCTGCTGGCAGTGCAGCACCGTTGAGCGGAGAGGCAAACTACGCCTTGGGAATGCCGAGCTGGAGAGGCTGATGAGGTTCGCTCGGTGGTGACTGGTGATTGGTGTGAGTGGTGCCACGTGTCCGTTTGGGTGTGAGGTGCGCCTGGTATTATAAGGAGTTAAAAAGATGGTGAGTGACTTGATTAGAAGAGGGATCTTATAACGAGTATTGAGTGACCTGGTTATTGGGATGACTTCTGAGACGTGTCAGAACGCGTGAGTGTGAGGTGGTTCCGAGGATTGACAAGAGGGATTGGAGTTCATATTCCAGTGGTGAGTGAGCTGACTGATTGGCATTTTAATAGATTGTTGTGAAGGGTAAAAGGATGAGCTGCAGTATTATGCTATCAGTGTTTTGCTAAGGTTGTGAGTTCTTTCGTCAGGGATATGATCCGTTGCTGGAACTGAGCACTGGCTTGTTTGTCAAAAGGCAGTATGGAAGAACACGGCAACTGAATGAAATGGATTGACAATGGGGAACGAAAGTGGCAAGGCAGCACCAGAGGGACGGCGAGAATGCGACAGAATGAAGGCGACGGCACGAAGGCGACAGCGTGAAGCCGATAGATCGTAGGCAACAGTGCTGTCGGCAACAGTTGACGGCGGCGGCTTAAAGGCGACAGTATGAAGGCGACGGCATGATGGCGACAGCGAAGGACACGGAATAATTCACAGCGGTTCAATGGCGACATTAATTCATGTATACTCACGGTGGATCATGATGATGAGTACTAACGCAATGTAAAAAAAGCGCATCCACGACCAGAAGCAGAGCCATGATCATCAATATGACTGTGAAACGCTCCGTCTTCATTGCCAAGACAACCACACCCGACACCCAGCAGGAGTTGACTTTCGAGTCCACTCAGAAATCACCCAGCACGTACCCGACGCTGTGCAGCTGCGTCGGGGAAGCGAACGCGGAGGGTCGAACAGCCAACATCAGATCCCCCTTGAGTGTTACCGGCAAGGGCCCAGGAGCCTATTCTACTTACTGATATGATATCCTAAACGCGTTCCAGAGATGCGTACAAGAAAGAATGCCTCGCACGGAACAAAGGTGTCAAGGTGCGCAGGGTCTCAAAAGGATTCTCAAGAAACGGCGAGACAAGAATGCGATTCACGCCAGGACGGCTGTAAGGAGATTATGCCTACTGACGAACCTCCAAGCGAATACACTTCGTGAACCTTCAATCATGTAAGAAAAGCTGCAGTCAAAGATTGAGGTACAAGCTTAGGAGGAGACCATTGTTCCGACGGACTCGCTAGGAAGCCATGGAACTTGGATGAGACCAGGAATCTGTAAGCAAAAGCTATAACCGAGGCTGGTCGAAAGATACATGCTGGGCTGAAGAAATGCCTCCGCAGAAAACCTGGCTGCACGGGGGAATGCTGGTTGCGAACTCGGAGTTCCTGATCCGGGCAGCAGAAATGGCGGAATCAAAATGTTTTATTGACGAATAGAATCAAGGCAGGTTGGAGAGAGCGGGAACGATGATTGGGTCACGTGGTAAGCAGGACAAATTTGATTGGTCAGTATACGATTTTGTCACCGACGAAAGGGTACCTTTTGCCTCAGCTACCGTCCCTTTCGCGTCAGCGCGGATGCACCATTGTAATGACTGACTTAGAAAAATAGTCGTTGTACTAACTGTACCCAAAAACTAACGGTTGTAATATATTATACTAAATCCTTACACAACTAGTAAACTCCTTTCCTGCTCATTCAGCACCATTTGCCAGCAGATGCATATGCGTGGCAAAAAAAAACTGAATAAAAGCTGGGAACTCCAGGAACTCAATGTGGGCCGCTCTTCCCAGCAGGCGGTTCAGATTACGTTGCTGCTGCGGCAACTCAAAGTTAACGTCACAACGGATGAATGATCGATCTCCAGACGTCCACGAAGGATGGGAGAGAAATGGTGCAAGGCAGCCTTCCACCATAGATGTGTACACGCCACCAAGACGAGCATCCCTCAGCACCGCACCGAAGACCTCCAGGCGGGCGGAATGATACGGCACATACTCATCCTGAGGTGGCTCGATAGGCGGGCAGTGAAATGTGCAACAGAGAGGCATGGAGGGAGGGTCCTCAGGTTTGACAAACGAGAGACAACATATTAGGGGGAGGGGTGGGAACGGAATCGGGAGGGAGAGCTGTTTGAGCGAGTGACAGGGAGTGTACGGATGAAGTGCAAGCTGACGTGGCAGAAGTCAGGAAGATAACGCATCGTTTGCAGGGCGGCATGAGTTGATGAGAGGGGAGGGAGGGAAGCACCTGGGGCGAGGCAAAGAGAACGATGTGCTTAAAGTGGACCCACTCCTGGCGCTGCAGACACGATGGAAAAGCAAGCGACAGAGAGAAAGAGACACACGGACACAGTGGTTTCAGTTTCAGCAAGGAGTGCGAAGAGCCAACCAGAGTCCAAGTCAGGGACCAAGTCAAAGACAAGGTCAGGGCTCACAGCAGATTGCAAAAGTCACATATCAAGTCACATGGGCACAAACATGGATGTCTGTGTGTGATTGGGGAGTCCGCACGTAGGAGAATTCTCAAACACACACGGTCGGACCGACCTGGGAGACGATTTTTGGGTCGACTAAAAAATCGACACACACGGCTCGTCCGACCTTTGAGTCGACTCAGAAGTAAAAAACTGACACACACATGGTCAGACCGACCTGAGAGAGGCGGTAGATGCAGGAGTCGCGGACGTTGAGCGAATCGGAGAAGGACAGCTGGCGCATGAGGGAGGAGGGGTCGAGGCGCTTGAGCAGCCACATGCCGCCCGTGACGAGGGAGTTGGAGTGGTACATGTAGCCCAGGTGGGGCCCACAGAAGGACAGGTAGAGGTGCAGGTAGGGCAGGTAGGGCCGCATGCTGTCGTCTGCAGTAGGTAGGAAGGATGGGATAGGGGGTCACGGGAGCAGGGTGGATGAATGGGTGAACCGCATGGAAGGCACATGCCGCCCGTGACGAGGGAGTTGGAGTGGTACATGTAGCCCAGGTGGGGGCCACAGAAGGACAGGTAGAGGTGCAGGTAGGGCAGGTAGGGGCGCATGCTGTCGTCTGCAGCAAAGAAGTAAGGGGGCATGGGATAGGGGGCCATGGAGACATCATTTGAACAGTTGAGAGAGGTAGATGTGCAGGTAGGGACGGTGGGGCCCACACCTCAGGTGGGGCCCACAATTCAGGTGGGGCCCACAATTCAGGTGGGGCCCACAATTCAGGTGGGACCCACAATTCAGATGGAGCCCACAATTCAGGTGGGGCCCACAATTCAGGTGGGGCCCACAATTCAGGTGGGACCCACAATTCAGGTGGGACCCACAATTCAGGTGGGCCCCACAATTCAGGTGGGCCCCACAATTCAGGTGGGACCCACAATTCAGGTGGGCCCCACAATTCAGGTGGGCCCCACAATTCAGGTGGGACCCACAATTCAGGTGGGCCCCACAATTCAGGTGGGCCCCACAATTCAGGTGGGACCCACAATTCAGGTGGGCCCCACAATTCAGGTGGGACCCACAATTCAGGTGGGCCCCACAATTCAGGTGGGCCCCACAATTCAGGTGGGCCCCACAACCCAGGTGGGTCCCATAGCTCGGGTGGGACATGCCCGCAGCCCAGGTGGGGCCCAAGGAGGGGCACAGGTAGATACGGGCGACATCTTACATCTATGAGTATGTGAGAGGAAGACTAGATAGCCTGCCACGGCCAACCATTACCTGCCAGTGCCGCCCGCACGACAAGGTTCCCAATGGAGTACCCCACAAAGGACAGCCGCTGCAACAGGTTCTTCCTATTGGGCCGGTCGATCGGCCCAAACATGCTGCGTAATGCGGTTACCACCTCATGCGCCAGCCGAGCACCCATCGCCTCCACCCCGCTCAGGTCGGGAGCACGGGCGGGCGAATGCGACGAGGGGGAGGGGGAGTGCGGGGCGGCGGAGTTTGTCTCGTTGCTCTCGGCCATGAGGCACTCGATGTCGGGGTCTAGCAGGCGCCAGCTGTCACGCACGAGCCTTAGGTCCATGCGGTGGCCCTGATACCCATGCACAAATACCACCACATGCTTTCCCCGTGTCGCCTTCCTGCCACCCTCCCCTCCTGTCGAACCTGCGGCAGATACACGTGGGGATTCTGTGCCTCCTCCTGCTGCTGCCGCTGCTGCTGCTGCTGCTGGGCTGAGAGACGTGAGGTGGTTGAGATGGCTGGGGATGGGTGGGCGGTGGGGCGAGGAGAGGCAAAAAGGGATGGAAGCGGGTGGGTAGGAGTGCAGAGAGGAGAGGAGGGAGTCCAGAGAGGTGGAGGTGGTGGGAAGGAGGGAGGGGGAGATGGGGAGGGGAGGACTGGGGAAGGTGGATGCGGGATTACTGGCGTCAATGATAGAAGCAGCAGCAAAGCTGGCAGGTGAAGCAGGAGTGGTGGGAGTGGAGGGAGTATTGGGGGTGGTGGGGGTGTGGGGCGTGGGTGTGAGAGGAGGTGAGGAGATTGAGGTGAGGGAGAGAGGCAGCAGCGAGTGGCAGAAGAGCAGAGGCTGTATGAGCGGGCGGGAGTAGAGTCGCATGTCCTGCAGGCAGGACGGCACACACGGCAGCGTGCGCTGGGGGACGCAGAGGGAAAGAGGATCGGCGAGATGGGGGAAGAAGGGAGGGGGATGAGGGAGAGGTGAGGCGCGGTGTGAGGGTATTGAGAATGAGCGGGCGCGAGTAGAGACGCATGTCCTGCAGGCAGGACGGCACACAGGGCAGCGTGCGCTGGAGGGAAGCAGAGGGGAACAGGCAGTGCAGGGAAGCAGGGAGGGGCGGAGGAAGAGTGGGAGGGCACAAGTGCATGAATGGGCGAGGAGGAAAAGAAAGTAAAGATGGAGGAGCAGAGGAAATGAGAAACGGAAGGGGTGGATAGAAGATCATGGCAGAGATGGGATTACGGCGGCACGAGAAGGGAACAGTACCAGGTTGAGAGTGGTGGTGAGGGTGGGTCGAGGCAGCAGCTGCGGCCGGCAGGGAGGCAGGGAGAGCACGGAGGAGGGCACTGCAGGCATGGCCGCCCGCACCTGGCGGGCCAAGGCTGCTGAGAGGAGCGCCAACTGAGAGGGGTGTGGGGGGAGAGAGGTGTGGTGGAGGGAGGAGGCGGGATTGGGGATGCAGTTATGGCAGTGGTGGGTTGGCGGGGCGAGCACGGAGGAGGGCACTGCAGCCATGGCCGCCCGCACCTGGCGGGCCAAGGCTGCTGAGAGGAGCGCCAGCTGGAGGGGTGTGGGAGAGATGGAATGGGGACGCAGCAGTCAATTGAGGGCAGGGCCTCACGAGGCCCCTGAAACGTCACTCTGAGGCGGCCCCTGAAAAGTCATTCTGAGGCGCCTCACAAGCAACTCGCACCTGATGACCCAAGAATGCTGAGAGGAGCGGCAGATGAGAAGGGTGTGAGACGAGAGAGGTGGGTGGGTGGACGCTGGGATAAGACAAGCGGAAGAGAAGCAAGCCACTCAACTCGGTGTCCTCTTACTTCTTGCGGCAGGGGGTGCTTGGCGATAGTGACATTGAGGCAGCAAGCAATCAAGGGAAACTCTGAGTGGACCTCGAGAACTATAAGAGTCAGAGATGGAGAAGACAGGCAGACGACAGGTGACTTTGAGACGTCCCAAAGCTCGAGGCAGCAAGCAATCAAGGCAAAGTTTGAGTGGACCTCGAAAACTGTAAGAGTCAGAGACGGAGACGACAGACAGACGACAGGTGACTCACGTCGCTCTGCTTGTCTGGCGGCACGAATTGCCTGGCTGTGGTGACATCGGGCCAGCGGTCGAGGCCGAAAAGCTGCTCTGTTTGCATGGGCGAGGCAGATGCATACACCCACGGCGCTGCTTCTCGTGTTTGGTTTACCACCCACTGCTGCCGTAGCACCGCACACAGTTCCACGTGGCACAGCCTGGTTGGATGGGAGGAGAGGGGGTGGACAGGTGGAACAGGGGTGGGGGACGAGCAGCAGGAGTGAGAGGAGAATGCAGAGGTTGTGTGAGTGGGAGACGAGAAGTCAGGAACCTGTTTATGTTGCCACGTTCTTTGGCTTCACTGGTTAAGAGGGGTAGTGAGGAAGGAGGAAGGGACCTACTTGACCAGATACGCTTGTGCAGTGCATGGAAGCAAAACTCATGTGGAGCATACGTATACGTATTAGATGTGCGCATGTATGCGCCACTCACTTGTGCATGCTTAGGAATGACGTCCAGTACGCAGTCACAAGACCCTTTGCTGCAACCTTCACTGCTTCCACTTCCTCCTCCGTTAGACTCACACTCCCATCAGTCACAGTCACTCCAGTGGTGGTAGTGGTATCCCTCTTCCCCACCTGACTGCCCGTCCCATCCTCTACACTCAACTCCCCCTTCCCACCTTCCTCCCTGCTTCCACCCCCAGGATCGGCAACCCCTTCACCCACACCATCACCACCGCTCGTCACCGTGCCCGACCCACCACCACTCTGCTTCCCTCCCTCATCACCCCCCACAGCCACACCTTCTCCCTCCCGCTCCTGCGCTCTCCCTTTCAACCCATTGTCACCTCTGTTACAGTCATTACCACCCCGTTCACTGCCCTCTGCAGCCTCTCCACTCCCGCTCGCCCCTCTCTCTGTTTCTGCACCTGGCTCCTCACTTCTGCTCGTCTCCACTCCACTGGATTTCGCCCCTGCCCTGTCAGCATCTGCCCCGTCAGCATCTGCCACGTCAGCACGTTCCCTGTCAGCATCTGCCCTGTCACCATCTTCTCTGTCGGACTGACCCATCAGCTTGCGCAGTGCACTGGCGAGCACAGGAGAGCAGAGTGACTGGAGAAATGGGGAAGGAGAAGGGACGAAGGTAAGGAAGAGGAAGGGAGTAGTAGGGATGAGAGGAAAAAATACCAAGAGGGATTGAGAAAGTGAATAGTTTCTGTTCATCACAATAATTTGAGTATGCGCTGGTGTACAACAAGATCTTCACCTGTAACTGGTATGTGACCATGCATGGAAATCATACCCCCCCCCCCCCCCCCCCCCCCCCACACACACACCCACCCACACCCACCCACACCCACCCACACCTTCACCCACCCACACCTTCACCCACCCACACCCACACACACCCACACCCACCCACACCCACACCCACCCACACCCACACCCACCCACACCCACACACACCCACACCCACCCACACCCACACACACCTGCTCAGCCATGGCGTCTGCGGGAGGCAGCAGGTGGTGCAGGTTGTATGTGGCAGCGAGGGCAGCGTTGAGGGAGCGCAGGAGGAGAGCGGACTCGAGCAGCAGACTCGTCATGGTCGTTGTTGCGGGGTCTGCGAGCTGCAGGGGAGGAGGGCGTGGTGTGCGAAGGGAGGAGGTGGAGTGAAGGGGGGAACTAGAGTGAGTGCACGGAGAGAGGACTCGAGCAGCAGACATGCCATGGTTGCTGTTGAAGGGTCTGCTAGCTACAGTGAAGAGGGAGTGGCTGTGAGTGAAAGGAGGAACTAGAGTGAGTGCACGGAGAGAGAGGATTCAAGCAGCAGACATGCCATGGTCGTTGTGAAGGGGTCTGCTAGCTGCAGGGGGGGAGGGAGTGGCGTGTGAGTGATGAGTGAGAGGGACTAGAGTGAGTGCACGGAGAGAGGGGACTCGAGCAGTAGACACGCCATGGTCCTTGTTGAAGGGTCTGCTAGCTGCAGGTGGTGATCGGCACAGAAGGCGAAAAGTTGGGAAGGGGAACGGGGTACAAGTGGGTGTGAAGGGAGCAAGTGGAGCAGCAGACATGCCATGGTCCTTGTGAATGAGTCTGCAAGTCAGATCCCCTTAGCCTTGCCATTCTTCTCCTGCCATGATCCCCTTAGCCTTGCCATTCTTCTCCTGCCATGATCCCCTTAGCCTTGCCATTCTTCTCCTGCCATGATCCCCTTAGCCTTGCCATTCTTCTCCTGCCATGATCCCCTTAGCCTTGCCATTCTTCTCCTGTCATGATCCCCTTAGCCTTGCCATTCTTCTCCTGCCATGATCCCCTTAGCCTTGCCATTCCTCTCCTGCCATGATCCCCTTAGCCTTGCCATTCTTCTCCTGCCATGATCCCCTTAGCCTTGCCATTCTTCTCCTGCCATGATCCCCTTAGCCTTGCCATTCTTCTCCTGCCATGATCCCCTTAGCCTTGCCATTCTTCTCCTGCCATGATCCCCTTAGCCTTGCCATTCTTCTCCTGCCATGATCCCCTTAGCCTTGCCATTCTTCTCCTGCCATGATCCCCTTAGCCTTGCCATTCTTCTCCTGTCATGATCCCCTTAGCCTTGCCATTCTTCTCCTGCCATGATCCCCTTAGCCTTGCCATTCTTCTCCTGCCATGATCCCCTTAGCCTTGCCATTCTTCTCCTGCCATGATCCCCTTAGCCTTGCCATTCTTCTCCTGCCATGATCCCCTTAGCCTTGCCATTCTTCTCCTGCCATGATCCCCTTAGCCTTGCCATTCTTCTCCTGCCATGATCCCCTTAGCCTTGCCATTCTTCTCCTGCCATGATCCCCTTAGCCTTGCCATTCTTCTCCTGCCATGATCCCCTTAGCCTTGCCATTCTTCTCCTGCCATGATCCCCTTAGCCTTGCCATTCTTCTCCTGCCATGATCCCCTTAGCCTTGCCATTCTTCTCCTGCCATGATCCCCTTAGCCTTGCCATTCTTCTCCTGCCATGATCCCCTTAGCCTTGCCATTCTTCTCCTGCCATGATCCCCTTAGCCTTGCCATTCTTCTCCTGCCATGATCCCCTTAGCCTTGCCATTCTTCTCCTGCCATGATCCCCTGCCTTGCCATTCTTCTCCTGCCATGATCCCCTTAGCCTTGCCATTCTTCTCCTGCCATGATCCCCTTATCCTTGCCATTCTTCTCCTGCCATGATCCCCTTAGCCTTGCCATTCTTCTCCTGCCATGATCCCCTTAGCCTTGCCATTCCTCTCCTGCCATGATCCCCTTAGCCTTGCCATTCTTCTCCTGCCATGATCCCCTTAGCCTTGCCATTCTTCTCCTGCCATGATCCCCTTAGCCTTGCCATTCTTCTCCTGCCATGATCCCCTTAGCCTTGCCATTCTTCTCCTGCCATGATCCCCTTAGCCTTGCCATTCTTCTCCTGCCATGATCCCCTTAGCCTTGCCATTCTTCTCCTGCCATGATCCCCTTAGCCTTGCCATTCTTCTCCTGCCATGATCCCCTTAGCCTTGCCATTCTTCTCCTGCCATGATCCCCTTAGCCTTGCCATTCTTCTCCTGCCATGATCCCCTGCCTTGCCATTCTTCTCCTGCCATGATCCCCTTAGCCTTGCCATTCTTCTCCTGCCATGATCCCCTTATCCTTGCCATTCTTCTCCTGCCATGATCCCCTTAGCCTTGCCATTCTTCTCCTGCCATGATCCCCTTAGCCTTGCCATTCTTCTCCTGCCATGATCCCCTTAGCCTTGCCATTCTTCTCCTGCCATGATCCCCTTAGCCTTGCCATTCTTCTCCTGTCATGATCCCCTTTCTTGCACGCTAACTCACAACGTGACAGACACATTCCCTCACTTACTCACACACACTCACCTTCGCCTTGCCATTCTTCTCCTGCTCCACTGCTCCAGAATCCTCTCCGCTCCTTCCCTTGCCCGCCAAAGGCCCCTCTCCATCCTTCTCATTGCCCGCACCACCTGTGATTCCAGTTCCCCCTCCGGTTGCACCAGCAGCAGCCTCCCCACCTCCGATGGGAATGCTCTTTAGCACCTCATCTGGACTCGACTTGTCTGCCACATCATTACCCGCCACCACGCCGCCACCCACCACGCCACCCTGCTCCCCCTGCGCCCCACCAAAGCTACCCTCCGCCTCATGGAACTCCTCGCTGCCCTCCTCCACATGGCCTCCTGCCCCTGCCCCTGCTGCTGCTCCTGCTGCTGTTGCTGCGCCACTCACTGCCCCTGCTGCTGCTGCTGCTGCTGCTGCAGTTGCTGCGACACTCCCTGCCCCTGCTGCATCTGCTGCTGCCCCTGCACCTGCAGCTACAGCAGTGTCGTCTGCAGCTGCACCCCCGTCTGCACCGCCTGCACCACCCAAGCTGCCGCCACCACCAGCACTGGGAGCATCAGCAGCAGTCGCTGCAGTGGTGCTGTCATTTTGGGATGTAGCAGCAGGGGCGCTGTTAGCCTGAGATGTAGTGGTAGAGGCGGGCTGCTGGGTGAGCGGTTGTGAGGAGTTGTCAGTGGTGTAGAAGGTAATTGGAGGCAAATCCGCCGGCGGAGGGAGTGTGGCAGGAGGGGGTTTCACTGGACGCACAACCCTGCGAGTGGCACGGGGGGAGACGGGAGTTGAGAGTGCTGGGTAAAGGATATGGAGGAATTGTGGATAGGGTGCTGAGATGCTTGTGCGAGGAGGGGTTAAGTGAGGTAGTTAGAGAGCAGTGGGAATGGGAGAGGGAAAAGGGGAGGGAGGGAGGGAGGGAGGAACAGAGAGGAGAAAGGGAGAATACATAAAGAATTCTTCATAACTTGATTATTCCATATGCCACCCAGGGAGTAACACTATCCTATACCTAATAGGCTACACCTACTGACCTGGGTCGATGCGCGGAGTGCAAGGGCGGGTTGGAGAAGTGCAGCATGGCGGCATGGACAGTGACGTCCAGCTGAGCAAAGCGCATGGTGTCGAATGTGACGGGCGTGTACTCGTGCACGTGGTGCCTGCCACATGCCCATGCTGCCTGCTGCAACACATACACATGCAGCCTGCTACCACATGCCACTTGTGATTGCACTCCTACACTCCTACTGACCTGGGTCGAGGGGCAGAGTGGAGAGGAGGCTTGGAGAAGTGCAGCATGGCGGCATGCACCGTAACATCGAGCTGGGCGAAGTGCATGGTGTCGAATGTGACGGGCGTGTACTCGTGCACGTGGTGCCACATGCCGCCCGGAATGCGCACTATCTGCCGCGCCACTGGGTCCAGGTCGTCAGGGGGCACGTTGCCCCGACCCGCTGTGAAGGGCGCGTGGAGGAGCTCAAAGCGGAGAGAGACAGGCTCGTCGAACGGTCTCTGGGGGAAGGGGAACGCGGGGCGCACAAGTGGGAGAAAAGATGCAGGACATGAGAGGCATGCCGCACGCATGTGGGTAGGGTCCAGGTCGTCAGGAGGCCCGTTCAACCGGCCCGCTGTGAAGGGCGCGTGGAGCAACTCAAAGCGCAACGAGACAGGCTCGTCGAACGGCCTCTGTGCATAAAGCGGAGGGGAGAGACACGAAGATTTGAGCAGTGAAAATCGGAGGCATGCCACTGGGGGTACATGCATCAGGTGGTCCGAGCAGGGGGCACGTTCCCCTGGGCCCAGGTCGTCCAGCGGGACGTTGCCCTGCCCCGCTGTGAATGGCGACTTTTGAGTCGACTCAAAAGTCACCTCGTCCAGCGGCACGTTGCCTCACCCCGCTGTGCATGGCGCATGGAGGAGCTCCAAACGGAGCGAGACAGGCTCGTCGAATGGCCTCTGGGGAGAGAGGGACAAAGGCACACAGAGAAGGGTCCAGGTCGTCACGAGGCACATTCCCCCTGCCCACTGTGACGGGCATGTGGAGAAGCTTGAAACGGAGCGAGACAGGCTGGCTTGCAGAATGACCTCTGGGGGAAGAGAATGATGCAGACATGCAAGCACATACAAGTACACAAGTGCACCACACACACACACACACACACCTTTTGGCGCACGGGCAGGTGGAAGCAGGCGACCTCTCAGAGCCCCACGTCCTGATGTGTGAGTGCACTGGGCGCTTCAATGCATGTGCTGACCATACCCCACTGCCACAAAAACAAGCCCAGCAGGACCCAGGCAGACAAGCTAGGCACTACCTTTTGGCGCACGGGCAGGTGGAAGCAGGCGACCTCCCGCAGTCCCACGTCCTGGCGGGCGAAGCGGATGCGGAAGTAGCGTGAGTGGTAGCTGCTGTCACTGTCATCCACCCGCCATGACGTCAGCGCCTCACCCTTGTGCGTGTCTGGGACTGAATTGTTGAAAAGAGAAACATGGATGGTTGCAAGGAGGGAGGAGAGGCGGTTCAAAAAAGTTGGAGAGACTCAAAAGTGACTTCTGGGAAGTAGCACGAGTGGTAGCTGCTGTTGCTGTCGCTATCGACTACCCGCCACGACGTCAGCGCCCCGCCCTTGTGTGTCTCTGGGACTGGGGTTGGAAGGGAGAATGAAAGCAGAGTCTGGGGAGAATGGGACTCTCTTGGTAGGCTTGGCGTGCTCACCAACAAGGCAAGCAGAATCAAGGGCGGATGTCAATCGACATAAAATTGTCAGTCTGGAGTTGATGGGGATGGCAATTTGTTTGAGTTGAAACGTCGGGGACTGATGGGAATGAATGACACATCAGGGATTGACGGGATGTCATTAAAATGACATAGACTAATTGAATGTCACTGAAATGTTAGAGATTGATGGGTTTTGTATAACAATGTCAGGGATTGATTTGATGGTATGGTGTCTGAGATTGGTTGAATTTCAATGAATCGTCATTAAGTGATGGAATGTCATTGAGATGTCATGGAATGTCAATGAAACGTCAGGCATTGACTGGAATGTCACTGAAATGTCAGGGATTGATGGGTTGTCATTGAAATGCCAGGGATTGATGGGACGTCATTGAAATGTTAGGCATTGATGGGATGTCAATGAACGTCAGGCATTGATGGGATGCCAATGAACGTCTGGCATTGATGGGATGTCATTGAAATGTCAGGCATTGATGGGATGTCAACGGAATGTCAGGGATTGATGGGATGTCATTGAAATGTCAGGCACTGTTGATGGATTGTCCAAGAAATGATGACGCAATGTCGGTCAAGGAGGAAAGGGAACACCGCAGAAACTGTATGCTCACTAGCGGGAAAAATCAGAGGGAAGTTCACGACGTGTGCTGCGTGCACGCGAGTAACGGGAGGCTGACGGCTCACATGCGTATTGCAGAACGCGTGACGGAGACGCCAGTCGCCCCGAGCTGTCCCACACGCATTGCACCTTTACGCCGTACCACCTGCGATTGCACGATGCCACGTCAGCACGGATTGAAACCACGGAGATCCAACATACTGATATACTCGAAACGAAGCCACACAGAAAAGACATTCGTGACCAGGGAAGTGGTTACTCGCGTACCCTTGTTTCAGCAGGTCGAGGTTATGGAAATTATGGAGGTACACCGCTACCTCCAGCTCTGGCTGGTTCGCCATTCTTGACCGTTGATTCGCCTTAATCAACGACGCTGCTCAGCAGGTCGAGGCAGTAGAGGTATCGATAAATTCGCGCAGGGAATTTGACAGCTCTGGCTAAATCCCCATTCAGTATCAGGGCTGGTCCGAAATACAGTACCAGGGTCAAAGAGGAATGGTCAAGCGTATGAAGAATGACCCATTGCGAATCATGGCGGTAACTCAGGTGCTAAAGAGCCGAAGATAGTGAGCAGCAAGAAATCAGTTACAACGCACATATCGAGCACGAACGAGAGACCTAGCCATGGGCGAACAGAATCAGAGACTCCATCCAGAGACTTGCTCAACAGATACTTCAGCTGGATTTGGGGAAACAGTGAAGGGAGAGCGTGCTAGCGCGTGAATGCCGCCAATCCCGAGGTTCTCCCATCTCCCAACCAAAGCTGCAGTTCCTCATTTGGGAGTGAAGCTCGTTTTGCACAGCAATTGCAACTGAACATTTCGTCAGGATGGCCTGCAAACTTCAAATATTATCTTCCTGTTGCCTCAAAAGTACACTTATATTCCTGTTTGGTTTCATATCCAAACTTGCCTTGGGCTCTTGGGCTGCGAACTATTCTTGCATCAACACAGAGCTTCTGAAAAAACAAAATTCCAAAAAGCCTCTAAAAAATCAAAACTAGCTATCTATGATTGCATCAGCTTCTCATGGCTGCATGCTATGTTGGCTTCTCATACGTGTTGGCATCCATCCAATCACGGCACATCTTCTGCACCATGTCTGCTGCATCCGCTAGAATCAACAGATGAGTGTCGTCTAGAACCTGAGGAATGGGCAGAAAACGAAATAGAACAGAAAAAATAAAGGGCAATCTTGTCTGCTTCAGGAACATACTGTGTACATGTACTGGTAACTGACATTTTTTCTCGAAAATGACGCAAATACATAACCTAATGGCAAGAATCTCGTTGTATCAGTGACCCATGTGCTAAATCAACACATTGATTTGATGAGACATGAATGGGAGAACGTCTGAGTATGAGCGAGATCGCAAGGGAACCAAACAAAAAACGGAGACAGTTATTCGCCTAAGACCATAGCACCTGAAGAATGAACTTCTCGGCCCCTCCCCTTTTGCTGTCAAGAAAGATAATATACTGTGCCATGGGAATGTCGCTGTAAGAAAAGGACCGTGAGAGAAAGAGGGGGGAGAGGGGAGCAGGGGAGAATGTGAGGGAGGTGGGGAGAGGGGAAAGTGGGTAGGGAGGGGAGAGATGGTGGCAGTGGCAGGCAACGGCGGTGAGCCATGCGAGTGCTGATTGGGGATGACGAGGTAAGAGACGCCAACGAGCAGGCCAAGAATGCGATTAATTGTACGAATTCGGACAGCTAATACCGCAAGTGATTGCACGTAATCGGTTTTGCGGATACCGACGTGTCAGGCGGAACAAGACTCAAGGGCAATGAATAAAAGAGCACAAGAACGGACGCGTACTGACCATTCAATCAGCACTCCCTTCTGTGCGTTCACCATCCTGCGCGCATAGCTCTTCACAGCCACTAAAGCTATTCACGCTACTGCGTCGTTGACCTGTTCATACTACAATCGATTCACCTGTATTGCCTGACGGAGCTTAGCAAGGCTGCTGTGCACGGCCTGGCTACTAGGCAAAGCTATATGGTGCTGTTGACGTGCTTGGCGGGAATTTGCGGCGGTGATGGGTATGTGGATCGTTGGGGCTTGTGCCACCGTACTCGCCATTGGAAGAGCAGAACTGGTTTAGAAGCAGCTGACTGAATATATTTCACATGGACGACGAGGCAAGCAATTTTCCAGGCTTGTTCTAGACAGCTTGCTCATATGATACTTCACATCAAATTGAGCTTTTACAGATCACAATCTCAGCACACAAAAATCCCTGCACGCCTCAATCAAGACTGGGAGTGGGTTGTGCTGGCAGACGATGGCCTGCGGTCAAAATTGAGCGATGCCTTGTCGAAAATGTATCCAAACGTCCAATCGTACGATGCCACATCAACACAGGAAGCCAAGGTGGGGTTTCTTCGCATGGCAAGCTTCCGTGCCATGGTGATCCGTGCAGGCAAGGGCAGCTGGTTGAGAGCCCACTCCAAGAGACCAGCATCTGAATCAGCAAAGTCAGTTGCATGCCTGGGGGGAGAGAGGGAAGGGGTGGATGGACAGAGGAGGATGGAACGGAATGACGGCAAGACCTTTGAGGTGCCACGGTACCAATCCAACCACGCTAGGGCAGCTGGTTGAGAGCCCACTCCTAGAGATAAGCATCTGATTAAGTCAGATGCATGCCTGGAGGGCGGATAACCTTGTGACATGATCACCAAGCGATGTGATCACAAAAAAAAAAAAACACAAAAAAAAGGTACCTGAAGAATTTGTGCAGGCAAAGAACCTCTAAGGTCCCATCATCACCACCACCACTTGCATCATCACCAGCGTTCCCACTAGCACTGACCACTTGAGGAGGCGGGGGAGGCACACGCCTTGTCAGCAGTCATGCCGATGCAGCTGGCGAGGTAGAGGTCTCTCGCATGCTCCAGCTGCGATTGCAGGGAGTGTGGCAGGTAGGCTCGCAGCACAGCACCAGCACAGCACCAGCAGCAACACCACAAACACCAGCACCAGCACCGCCGCCAGCACCAGCACCAGCACCAGCACCAGCAGCAACACCACAAACACCAGCACCAGCACCACCGCCAGCACCATCAGCACAAGAAAGAGCGAAATCACTGACCATTTCAGGAGGCGGGGGAGGCACACGCGGTTGTCAGCAGTCATGCCGATGCAGCTGGCGAGGTAGAGGTCCCTGGCATGCTCCAGCTGCGATTGCAGGGAGTGTGGAAGGTAGGCTCGCAGCACAGGCGCACTCAGGGATCCCGGCGAGAGAGCAAACGACACCAGCGGCTCCGCCTCCCCCACCACCCACTGCTGCCTCGGGTCATCTGGCGGAAAGGGCGTGGCGTTTAGTGCCTTGGCCTGAGACGAGAAGGAGGAGACAGGAGGGGCAAGGAGGGGTGACAGAAGTAGCAAAAAGGGAGATGAGTGCCCATGAGTGGAAGATAGGAGAGGCAAGGGAGGGAAGGAGGGGGGTGGGAGTGCAGGGAGTGTAGCAGATAGCAGATGCACTGTAAGTGGGTGGGGAAGTGGCATCGGACCAGAGGAGATGGCTTGGTTGGCAGCGGGGCTTTGAAAACGGCGTTTTCAGTGTCGGTGGCTGTCACTGCATGGCCGATCCTTTAGTCGACTAGAAAAGTGGAGTGAGTAGTACTCCTAATCACCCCAGAAGAGATGGCCTGGCATCAGGAGCTTTGATAACGGCATATTCAATATAAGCTACTGTTCACTGAGTGGCCTTAGAGCAGACCCTAAAGCTCCGTGTGGATGGGGCAGTGGAGCGATTGACACTCACCAGAGGCGAGGGCCTGGCAGCTGGAGCTCTGAGAATGGCAAACTCGATGTCTGTGGCTGTGACTGCATGGCCCCCTATGGTGTATGACGCCTGGCAAGAGGAGGAGATGATGGGATGCGTTGGAAGGGGATGGGATGAATGAAATTGTGTGTGGAAGATAGGGAGGGGAGCATTCGCAAGGGACGAGGTGAAGTGGAATGGAGCGGAGTGGAGTGGAGGCGAGAGAAGTGAAGTGAAGTGGGAAGAACTGTAGAGGCAGGTAGAGAAGGAGCAAGTGAGATGGGGTGGAAGGGGCAATGCAGTGTGTGTAGACCAGGGGCTACTCACGGTCTGCAGCAGAGCAATGCGGCGCAGGTGAGTGTCAGGACAGCCATTGGTGATGTACGTCTGATGTGACTTTTGAGTCGACTCAAAAGTAGCAGTGTGTATAGCGGGGGGGGTACTCACGGTCTGCAGCAGAGCAATGCGGCGCAGGTGAGTGTCGGGACAGCCGTTGGTGATGTATGTCTGATCAATGATGGGATGGGAGAGGGGGTAAAAAGGGACGGATTCACACAGGTGCAAAGATGAAGGGTGCAGGACATGGCATGTTTGAGCGAGCAGCAGTTGGTCAAGAAGGCAGGATTGAGCACTCTTTCGACTGACATATTACCAAAAATAGGAGTGCAACGCACCGAGAGCAAGAGGGCGTTGTACACGTTGATCCAAAAGACGAGCCTCTCCATGTGTGAAAGGCTGGCAGGGTCTACCAGCCGCAGCTGATCCACGTAGTGCCTGGCGAATGGGGGGGAAAGAGGGGGGCAGGGAAACGGAGAAGAGGGGGAGGTGTGGTTTGAGTTGACTCAAACACTCCGTGTGTGAGTGAGGGGTGTGGTCTACTACCAGCCGCAACTGATCCACGTAGTGCCTGGTGGGTGGGGGTATGGGGGGGGAAGGGACGAAGAGGGGTGGGTGTGTTTTGAGTCGATTTGAATCACTCTGTGTGTGAGAGAGGGGTGCGGTCTACCAGCCGCAGCTGATCCACGTAGTGCCTGGCGACGGGGGGAAAGAGGGGGGGAGGGGGGGGAAGGAGACGGAGAACAGGGGGTGGAACAGGATTGAAGAGCAGGTAGCAAAACCAGTGTGACTAGTGGAAGATGGTACACGGTCAGCTTAATGCCGAGACTGTTTCGTCATGGATTTGATTCTCCTGGACATGTCGTACCTGTGTCTCTTCAGTGCTGCCACGTCAGCATGCACATATGCGCCTTCCTCAGGTACTGCCTCCGCCACTACCAGCTCCCACCCTGCCCCTGATGCCCCCTCCCCGCCCCTCCCACTTCCTCCCATCTCCGCCCTCCCACTCCCCATCCCTGGCCCCATTCCCCCTTCCGCCAGCACCATTCCCCCCTCTCCTTCTCCACCTCCGCCTCCCCCTGCTCCCCCCCAGGATCCTCTCCAACCCTCTGCTCCATCCGAGCCTGAGGTTAGGACTCGCCGCCGGGGCCGAGGGGCAGCTTCGGCAGCAGCGGCAGCAGCAGCAAGGGCTGCGGCGGTGGTGGCGGCTGCAGCAGCAGTGGTGGCGGGAGAGAGGCGAGTGTTGATCGGAGGGTGGGGAGGCTGGTTTTCTCCTACTCCTCCTCCTCCTGCTCCTCCTGCCACTCCAGCTCCTCCTGCTCCTGCTCCTCCTATTGCTCCACCTCCCTTCACTGCTGCTCCTCTCCCCTTTCCATCACCATCAGCACCGCCTGCACCATCCCCGCCCTCTCCCCCTTTCACGCCCAGCCCTCCCTTTCCCCGCTTGGGTCCCAGCAAGGAGTAGGGGGACGCAGCTGAGGGGGAGTTAGAAGAAAGAACACGTTCAGATGGGGAGAGGCAGGAGGTGGCATGAGGAGTAGGGCTCCTGGGCGGGCGGCCAGAGTAAGCACCTTCAGAGGGGGAGAGGCAGGAGGCGGCATGGGGAGTAGGGCTCTTGGGCGGGCGGCCAGAATAAGCACCTTCAGAGGGGCTTTTTGGGAGGAGAAGACGCGTGCGGATAGGGTTGGGTAAGGTTGAGCCGCCCGGGTCAGTTGTGGTTGAGCCGGCTGGGTCAGTTGTGGTTGAGCCGGCTGGGTCAGTTGTGGTTGAGCCGGCTGGGTCAGTTGTGGTTGAGCCGGCTGGGTGGGCTGCGATTGAGCTGTCTGGGTTGGCTGTAGTTGGGTTGGCCAGGGCCAGTGGCTTGGTGGGAACGGTTGCTAACTGCTGCTGCTGCTGCTGCTGTTGCTGCTGGTGCTGTGTGGACTCGTAGAGAGGGTGGAGAGCCAAAGGGGCACCTGAAGCTAGTGGCGCCAAGGGATGCTGTCTACCTGAGGGATACTTTTTGGATGCTCTGGGATAGAGGGGCCCAGATTGGGACTTCCGAGGACAAGAGGGGTCAGGATGAGAGGGCTGCGAGGGCTGGGAGGGCTGGGAAGGCTGGGAGAGCTGGGAGGGTTGGGAGGACTGGGAGGGTTGGGAGGACTGGGAGGACTGGGAGCGGGAAGGGCCAGAATGGAAGGTGTGGGAGCGGGGAAAGGCGATTCCGGGTTCATGAGCGAAGCTGGGCTGCTGAGAGCCTTCCCCGCCCCTCCACCCCCTGCTGTACGCACCTCCCATGCGCCCCACACCAGCAGACATACCGGGAATGTTACCAGGGGCCGGTGTTGAGGGGTGCACAGAGGAGGAGAGGCGCGCTGAAGGCGGGTGCAACGGCGGGAGGTGCAGGGGAGGCGGGTACCGGCCGGGGACACCGTCAGGTGCTGCTGCTGCGAGTTTCCAGGTGCTGCTGATGGAAATCAGCTCTGCAGCGCTGCTGCTCTGTGCACGCTGCATCTTCCTGCCTCCTCCTCTTCCACCTCCCCTCCCAGCATTGGTGCCAGCAAGACTGCTGCCCCCCCCACCACCACCAGCAACAGCAGCAGCACCGCCGCTACTATCAGCAGCAGCAGCAGTGCCGCGTCCATTGCCCAATCTTGCTCCTCGCCCTGCCGTAGCACCCACCAACGGAGCCCTCCCTCCCTGCACCATCATCTGCCCTCTCCCTAGTTCCTTCCCCCCCTGCCCCTGCTGCCCCAGCAGTCTCTGCTGCTGCTTCTGGTGCTCCTGAAACGCAAAAGAGGATGTCTCTAACGCGGACTGAGAATGTGGAATCAGCATTCTTCCGTTCACAACCTTCACACCACCAACACCACTCCCACCGCTATTCCCACCGTCCCTCTTGCCACCACTCCCACCGCCACTCCCATTGTCGCTGTTGCCTCCCAAACTGTCCGAGTCTGACCCCTGGCTCCTCTCCTCAAGGGAGTCACCATGCTGTGCGCTGCTGTCTGCTCGTCTGAGCACCCTCCGCTGTCCCAGCTGCTTCGGAGGCAGCTGCAGCGGCTTCCCTGGGCTTCGCTGCTCTAGCTGCTTCTTCTGATCCCGCTGCTTCTGCTGTTGCTGCTGCTTCTGTTGCTGCTGCTGCTCGCTCAGCTTCTCTTCCCCTGCTCTCTCACCCAAACCCGCACTGTTCACTGATCTCGCCCCTTCTTTCGCCTCACCCGCATCGCCAGAGGGAGCGAACGGGGAGGCGAGGGGGGAGAGGGAGTCAGAGTCAGAAAGCAGCGATGCAGTATCCAGAGGGGTCACTGCAGGAGGGCGCTGCAGGGAGGATGGCGTTACAGGGGGTAGCGTTGAGGGTGGTAGCCTCACAGTGGAAGAGGAGGGGTTGCAGAGATTCTGGTGCCGTGGGCTGATTTCAGGGGAATTACCCGCTAAAAGACACTCATGCACGGATTCTACCCCAGACTGCAGACCGCCCTCATCTAACCCCCCCTCGCATCCACCGCCTTCCGCCTTGCCCCCTGCTGCCCCCTCTTGGCCCCTCTCCCTGCCTCGCGTTCCTCCCTGGAACAGCCTCAGCAGCCCACTCCGTACGCCCTCCCTTGCAGCATCTGCATTGTGATTGTGAGAGCCCAGGGACATTGACAGGGGAAACCTAGCATTGGCGGTGGTTCTAAGATGAGGAGAGGAGAGATTCGACCCCTTTGGATCATCCTGTTGCCCTCTTGCCCTGGTTCCTTCTCTCGCTCCTGCCTTTCCCCTCCCTCCTGCCCCTCCTGCCCCTCCTGCCCCGTCTTGCTCCCCCCCTCCCTCCCCCGCTGCCCCATCACCATCCCCTCTCGGCTTCCTTCCCAGGGACGACTTGTGAGGGGGTCGGGAGTGAGGGAGGGGGAGGGGGAGGGCAAGAGAGGACCAGGCGGAAGAAGAGGAGGAGGAAGAGGTGGTCGATGAGGGGGGCAGGCGAGGCGAGAGGGAGGAGGACACAGAGGTCGATGTAGACTCGCTGGCAGAGAAAGCAGCAGCAACCACGTCCCAAGGATTCTCGTTCTTAACTGAAATCGCCAGCAGCTCAAGAGACCTCGGGTCAAGAATACGTGCCACGTCCTCTCCCCCACCCCCGCCCCCGCCCCCACCTACTCCCCCTCCGCTTCCTCTTCCTCCCCGCCTGCTGCCGCTGACACCGCTGCTCCTGCTACTGCTCTTCACAAGCCTGCTCCCCTGCATGCTCCCGCTCCTCCCTGCCACATCCCCTCCAAACCCCGAAACTGATCCGTTCAGCCCTGAGCCTGGCCCGGGCGGCATTTGTTGACTGCGTCTGGCACTGAGAGCACTGTTCACGGAGCCCTGGCGAGGGAAGGCGGCAGCCATATCTGCCATAACCCCCAGCCCTCCACTCAATCCCCCCAAGCTCCCTCCCAGACCTCCTAGCCCCCCTAGGCTTCGCCTCCAGCTGCTTCTCCTCTCCCCTCCCTGCTCCGACGCCTGTCGAAACAGCTTCGGACTGGCCGCCTGCAGGGCTTTCTCCTGAGCTTTCTCCTGGGGATTCCCCTGCTCCCCCTCAGCACTTATCTCCCAGTGCTGAGGTTTGGCCGCTGTAGAGTCCGGGAGGGCCATGCAACCTGGGGGTTGGTCAGGGCTGAACGCCTCTTCTCCTTCTGACGTGCTGCCGCTGTTAGGAGCCCTCACCGCATCCTCCGACCCAGCCGCATCACCAGCAGGTCCACCGGTATTATTAGCGCCAGTAGCATTAGAAGAGGCAGGAGGGGGAGCGCTGCCAGAGTCCTGTGCGCCATCTAAGGCAGAGGCGCGAGACCTGTGCCCCTGGTGCAGGCCTGAGACGTTCACACCCCTCTCGTCCCAGAAGGCGGGGGGGAGGGGCATGTGTGTGCCGTGCCTCATGTATACGGAGGCCACAGTGCGAAGCAGAGCCACTGAGAGGTCACAGGGGCGCGAGGAGAGGTCTCTCACTGCGATGCCACCTGCCGCTCCTGCTGCCCCTGCTCCTGCTCCTGCTGCTCCTGCTGCTGCTCCTGCTGCAGTGTTGCTGGTTGATAGGTCGCCTGCAGCAGAGGAGTGCTTGGTGTGGTTCCGGCCTCTGGGCGTCCTTTCCTCCCCGTGGAAGGAGGGCGCTGGGACAGTCTCAGAACGAGGAAACGCAGGCGAGAGGGCGGGAGCAGGGGAACGGCCAGAAGCAGGAGAGCGGGCAGAAGCAGGAGAGAAGGCGGAAGCAGGGGAGTGGGCAGAAGCAGGCTTGAACCCACCACTTTCTCCTCCCTCAGTTCCCTGATTTTCTTCCACTCGACTGATGCTCTTCCCTTCCGGCTTTCCTCCACTCGCATCCCCTCCTTGCACACTCGCAGCTGCAAAGTCCAGAGAGCCCTGCCTCTCTGGAGACTCCACGTCAGGGCCATGGCCCCCGCACTGAGACTCTCCTGCCCCCGCTGCCCCTGCTGCCCCTGCTGGCCCTCCTGACCCGCCTGGCGCTGCTGCCCCGTGTGCAGGTGGAGAGTCCAGGAAGTCACGGAAGCTCCCAGTGGCTGCTCGTTGCCGAGAGGGGGAAGGGGAACATGGCGCACCACTTGCAGTCTCCGCTTCGTCACCTGCCTCTGCTTCTCCCTCTGAGTCTGCATCTGATTGTGCCGCTGCTTCCGCTCCTGCAACACTGCCTGCTCCTGTTTCTTCTGCACCTGCTGTGGATTCATCTGCTGTGCTGTCTCCACCCATGTCTGCCCCTCCTGCACCAGCCACCACAACCGTGTCTGCCCCCATTGTCTGCTGCTCTGCCTCTGTTGCCTTTCTCCCCAGTGATACAATCACTTCTCTGACTGCCACACCATCTGCTGCACCATCTGCTTCTCTGACTGCCGCACCATCTGCTGCAGCGTCCGCAGCAACGTCTGCTGCTCGCCCCACTGCATTTTCTGCTGCTTCGGTGTCAGCACCTTCTGCTGCTCCCTCTGCCTTTGCCTTTGCATGCGTCGCTTCTGCCCTAGCTACTCCACCACCACCGCCCCCCACACCCTCAGCAGCACCCAGACCCGTCTCATCAGCAGCCCAACCATTCAGTAACTCCCTGTTGCAATCACCTTCGATTCCAGGCCCCTGCTCTGTGTCACTGCAAGCAACTTCTTCTCTGCCTCCATTCACATCCCAATCCCTGCCCCCCTCTCTCTCTCCACCTCCCTCCTTGCATCTCCCTCTCTCTCTGCCTCCATCCACGCCCTTCCCTCCACCTCTCTGTTCTCGCTCATCTACGTCTGAATATCCATTCTGAACCGACCCCGCGCTTGCAGCTCTCACCACATCATCACATCCAGGCGAACCCCTCTCTACCCGCCCCAGCGGCTGCTGCGTTCCCCAGCGCTCAGACTCCCCATTGCCCGCCCCATTGTAACGAGGTGACTTTTGAGTCGACTCAAAAGTCACCTCAGACTCCCCACTGCCAGCCCCATCAACCTGCCGAGTCCACCCTCCTTCCAGCGCATTCAGCTCGCATGCCTGTTCGCTCGGCTCAGCCGCTCGATCACTCACCTCAGCCACCTGCCTACTCCGCCCATCTTCTTGCCCCGTCTGCCTCTCTCCTTGGCCACTCAACTCGCCTACCCGCTGGTTCAGCTCTTCTGAACTACCATTCAGCTCACCTAAACTACCACTCAGCCCATCCACCCTGCCGGACAATACAGCATCTGCCGCCTCTTCAGCTGCAAAAGCTGCTGGTTCTCCTCCTGCTGTGACCGCAACAGACTCCCCTGCAACCACAGCTGCCGCTTCACTGTCTTTCACTTTGCCTCGTTTTCCCTCCTTACTTTTCCTGCTCGTATTCCCCTCCTTCTGTCCAGCCTTCACTCCCTTACGCCCAATCGTCTTCTCCGTCCCTGTGCCTCTCTTCCCTTCATGCTTCTTCTCTTCAACCTTCTTCTCTTCATGTTTCTTCTCTTCATGCGTCTTATCTCCCTGCTTCTTCACCCTCTGCTTCCTCTCAACCGATTTCCCCAGAATCTGCTCCTTGCTGACAACCTCTTTCTCCCCCCAGTCCGCTCCTTTCTCCTCATTGAAACCATCAATGAAGAACCCGTTGCCATTGCATTTATCCCCGCTATAGTGTACCCCGCTTCCCGCAGGCTGGTCAATCGTAATAACAGGATCCTCTGTAAAGTTCCGCGTTCCAGGAGTATCGTTGGTGGTGAGCATATGCATGCTGACTCGGCGTGCTCTGTGGTGTGATGGGAAGTGACGTGACAGACAAGACACAGGGAGAGGCAGAGCAAGGAGGGAAAGATCGAACAAGGTGCGAAGATAATATTTAGGAACCGCACACAGCAACTACGAACGCATGAGCTAAGTGAGAAAGAACCAGCAGCGGACAGGCGGTTGCAGAAAGGGGCAACCTCTCTCATCTGAAGAAACCAGCACACGGATGGAGCATTGGTAAGGAGCCAGGATGTCTGTAACAAGGGTATCTGTCACGAGGCTGTTTGTAATGAGGCTACATCTGTACACTTACAGCTGACTCGTCAGCACATTCAGTCGCTGCTGCAGCTGAAGCAGCAGCTGCAGTTGTTCTGTCTCCCTTTCCCGACCCTTCTCCACCTCCCCAACTTCTGCCCGACCCCCTGCTTCCGCCCCTCCCCCTGGTTCTGATCTCTCTCCCGCGATCTCGCCCCTCTCAACCGCACCCAGCTGCACAGAACTAGCTCCAGCACTTCCAGACTCCGCCCTCCCTTGCTGCGCCAGTCGCTGCAAGGCCTGTAATTCTCCAGCCACCCACGCCACATGAGCGCGGGCACCACCATCCGCAGCAGCACCGTCAGCACCCCCTCCAGCAGCAGCATCACCACCAGCACTACCACCGCCTTGCACTGTGCGCCAGCGCCAGTAGTCGTTCCCTCTGAAACCCTCCCCCTCGCCGTCCCCATCCACGCTCTCCACCTTTCGCTTCACGGACCGCCGCCAAGAGCCCTCCACATGCGGCTCTTGAAGTACCAACTCCTGCTGCTCCTGCTGCAGTAACTGCTGCTGCTGCTGCTGCTGCTGCTTCTGGGGCAGCTGATCTCGGTTCTGACGGATTAACGAGGAGAAAAGGCCAGTAACTGAGGCAGGGGAGGAGGGCAAAGGGGGTTCGGCGAGTTGCGATGGAGTGACAGGAGCCAGCAGCCTTCGCTCGTCAGTAGGAACCAGAGGAACCGCAGCGCCAGAGGCAGTCGGTGCCTGATGCTCGTCAGGAGGAACCTGAAGATCCTCAGCCTCAGCGCCAGAGGCAGTCAGTGCCTGATGCTCGTCAGGACCCGCTGGCTGGCTCACAGGACCAGATTCGGACAATGTGGTGTTGGACTGTAGAGTCGCAGATTCTCTGCATCTGGACATATGCGAGGAGCGTACTGTCCTGCTCTGTTCTTTGCTAGGTAGAGACGACATGCCACTAGCCGACGCGCCCTTGTGCCTATTTAAAGACTTCTTTTTCAGGCCGCCACGTGCGCCCGAGATCCGCTTCTCGTCATCAGTCACTGCCACCTGGTAGGTGTTCTCGACTGGTGTAAACGACGGGTCATCACTCGAGCGTGCTCTTGGTACATGGTCACCAGAAGAGTGTAACAATCTCCGAGAGCGAGCTCCAGATCCTGGTAACTGGTTACTAGAATATTCTAAGCTTTCTTGGGAAGGAGCTGCTGGTGGCTCGGAAGAACTTAGGCGCGCTCGGAGTGAATGTTGCAGTGACTTGGCTGGTGTTTTGCGTGAATCAGTTGTGGGACCAGGTGAGTCGGCGTGTACCGAGGTGTTGTCCTCGGGGGTTCCGCGATCAGGGTGACCCGAATGCTGGATGTCACGCCATGGTTTGTGATGGCTGGCAGAAGCGACTGACGGCGATTTGGTCTTCTTTTTGACCGACTTTCTGAAAGCAAAGAAATGGAGGTCCGGGAAACGCAGGGGGAAGAAATCGGAACGCAACTTAATTAACTTTCAAGATAGTTATTCCTTAAAAGAACGCATGGACGTGACAAGCTCGCTGGAAACCTCGTCGATGTCTAGCGGTAAGCACGTTCCAAGAGTCGATTTAACTAGCAAGACAGACACGGGACGTGGCGTCATCAATTTGACCGCATGAACGCCACACTGCGACAACAATCAATGCGACGATAAGAACGCTGAGGACATGAAACGCGACAACACGACGAAATGACAATGTGATACAGACGACTAAGAAAATAACGGACCTCTGCTTGGTTTCGGCTGTCTGGAGCTCCATGGCGACTGGAGCAACACCGTCCATTGTATAGCTCGCGGACGAAGCTATTGTGAACTTCTGACGATCTGGTCTAACTGAATAGGTACATAGTAGAAGGGATTACTGCTTGCTTTTGCTGACATATTTCATTATCTGTATTTGACTCATCGTTTTTACAAAAAAATATACGTGCGCGTTTTGATGCGCGACGCTATAACTCGAACACAGCGACATAAGACTCCTTTCTCACTCTTTTAGCGGTTAAGGCCTGACTTACGAGAAAACATATGTACAAGGAGAACACGGCTCGAACCAACACATAACATGTTCCCTACGAAGACCTACCTCGACTCGAAACCTAGCAGATCATCTAGAAAATGCTGAACAGCCAAGAAGGCAAGAAGGCCAGATAGGCATGAAGGTGGGATAGCTAGCGAAGCGACAGTCAGCAACTGACCGACATATCTCCCCCCTCAACTCATCTCATCTGAGCCATCCCTGCGGACTGCCCATGGAAAACTTCCTTGGGAACTTCCCGGGCAACGGAACTGATACTCAAGAATTTCGGCTGTGCAAGAAGTTCTCTAGGTTTTGTGTTGTCAGGAACGTGATTGGAGGGCTGGGAGACCTTAGGAATTGCTCATTCGCCCAACTCTTGATGCCAGGGAGGAGAATTTTTTGCTGCGGGTCAGGTGGCCTCGGCAGAAAGCTTATCTCTAGGCTTGCATTGCATACCCATCAAAAGATTCGAGGGGAAATATTCGTTATAAAGCGAAATCATGTCTAGATTGTGCACAGAAATTCGGACTGAAATATATCAAGTGCAGCTGACAATTTTTTTGTAGGTTTTTCTCCTTCCCTCATCTCTCTTCCCTCACTTTTCTCTCATCCACTCGGACCAGAAGCAAGGCAGAGCACAAGTACGGTTGTCGCGCATCCTTGACCCGTCGTCGTCGTTCGTCACGCTCCCACCTCGCTTACTCTTGTTTCCGTCCTTCCGATTTAGAACTTTTATACCATGGGCGCTCGCAGGGAGACGTTTCGTTGGGGAGATGCGGAGGAGGAAGAGGAGGGATTAGATTCCGTTCTCCCGCCGACGCAGACGATCGGACCCGATGAGAAGGGAATCAAGATCGTTATCGAGTGGCGTCTCAACGAGGAGGGTCAGCGCGTTAAGTTGACGAAGAAGATCCGCGTTAAGAAGCAACTCAAGAAGCTGAAGCCGGAGGTCATTCGCCGCCGCAGCCTCAAGAAATTCGGCGATGCGGTCGGACAGGTAGCGTCTTCAATACTACTTGTTCCTTTAGACCGTCAGCAACTGTTTTCTGCCCTTTCCGCAGCTGGCTACTCTCGCGGTTCCGTCAATTGCTTTAGGGTTTTAGCAGCATGGCTTCTAAAGGGAACCTCACCATGTCTCAACACATTAAAGCTTCCTGTCGAATCATAACGGTTCCTCCTTGCCACCTTTCCACCGGTATCTCTCCCGTTTCCACTCCTCCTCCCTATCCCCTCTCCTCCCTATCCCTCCGACAACTTCTCCATGGTCTCGACGGAGGAGATTTTCCTCGAGCGGCCCGAGGTGGCGCTTAAGTCAACTCAAGTCTCGCTCACACCTTCCCGCTCCTCCCCACCCCGCCGCACCCCTCCCAACCCCTCCGCACCCCTCCCCTCCCCACCCCTCACCCGCCGCAGATCGGCTCCGACAACTTCACCATGGTCTCCACAGAGGAGATTTTTCTCGAGCGGCCCAACCAGGCGCAGTCGAAGCAGGACGAGGCGAAACCCTCCGGCGACCTGGCGGCGATCGGAAGCGCGTCGCTCATGGTGTGTCGTATCTGCGGCAAGAAGGGCGACCATTGGACCTCCAAGTGCCCCTTCAAAGACCTCGCCGCGGCGCGCGGGCTCGCCGTCGGGGAGAAGTTCGACGAGGACGGCGCCGCGCCGTCCGCTGCCAGCGGCGCTCCGTCCGGGAAAACCTCTTACGTCCCGCCGTCGCTGCGCGCGGGCGGCGCGGCGTCGCGCGCGGGCGAGGACAGCGGCGGCGGCGGGAGGCGCGGAGGCGGCAGGGATGACAGCAACTCCGTGCGGGTTACGAATCTGTCGGAGGACACGCGCGAGCAGGACCTGCAGGAGCTGTTCGGGCCGTTCGGGCCCGTGTCGCGCATCTACGTGGCGTTCGACCGCGAGACGGGGCTCAGCAGGGGCTTCGCGTTCATCAACTTCATCAACAGGTGCGTTGGGTTGGGGGGGCGCCCCATGTGTGTCTGGGAGGGTCAAGCTCTCTGTGGGTGGGGCAACGAGCGCCAACAGGTGCTCTGGGAGGGTCAGGTTCGCGTTCATCAACAGGTGCGTTGGAAACGAGCGACAACAAGGGAATCGCCAACACGTAGGGGGAGGGGGACGAGGGAAGGGGCGAAGGGGGGATGGTTCATGGAGGGAAGGGAAGAGCGCCAAGGGCGGGAGGAGGGTGGGAAGGGGGTTCATTGTTCGTTCTTCATTACTTGGCGCTTGGCCGTGAGAGAGGGGTCAGCAGGGGGTTTTGCTTGGTCAGTTGAATCAAGCATGACTCTGTTTCGCTGGGAGTTAATTTAAGACCCTTACCCCCCCCCTCACCCGTGCTTGTTTCACCGTAATCCCCCCTCAGCCGTACCTGTTTTCCTCCTATCCCCACTCACCCGTTATGCCCCCTCACTCTGTTTGCTCAGGGAAGCTGCTGTTTGTGCAATCAACAAGGTGACTCTTCAGTTGGCTTAGGTCACCATTTTGACTCATATATCCCCCACACCATGCTTGTTTTCTCCCCATTCCCCCCCCGCCTGTGGTGCCTGTTTGGCCAGGGAAGATGCTGTGCGGGCTATCAACAAGCTCGATGGTTATGGTTACGACAATCTCATCTTGCGTGTAGAGTGGGCAACACCACGAGCAGATCGCGGCTAGAATCCCAGTCTTTTTGTTTTCCCCCTGGTATTGCCTGTTCGCTGAAAGCCGTTTTGTCATTGTTCTGGTTCGTTAACTCAAGCTGTAGCTGTGTTTTAGAATGAGCATTGGCTGGATTTAATCAGGCCAGCCAGAAGGTGTAGGTTGTGCTGGTGTTGGGCCCAAATGGTTACTAAACTGTATAGGGGATTGGCAATGCACAAGCTTGCAAGCATGTTGCAGCCTCTACCACTTTCCATGTGTTGAGAGTGGGCAACACCACAAGCAGATCGCGGCTAGAATCCCAGTCTTCTTGTTTTCCCCCTGGTATTGCCTGTTCGCTGAAAGCCGTTTTGTCATTGTTCTGATTCGTTAACTCAAGCTGTAGCAGTGTTTTAGAATGAGCATTGGCTGGATTTCATCAGGCCAGCCAGAAGGTGTAGGTTGTGCTGGTGGTGGGCCCAAATGGTTACTCAACTGTATAGGGGATTGGCAATGCACAAGCTTGCAAGCATGTTGCAGCCTCTACCACTTTTGTTATGAGTTGTAAGGGAGAGTGCGCAGGTTAACGAATAACGAGAATGTGATTGAACAAACTGATCATACAATGAAGGCACACGCTAATACCGTATGTATTACCCCGGATAGAAGCGCACCTGCGTTTATAATAAAAGCAGAGTTTTTTAGGGGGGTGCGCTTCTAATTGAGTCATTTTTATAAGCGCATGCGCTTATATAATGACATACAGATTTATAATTTTATAGCATCAAAATGTACATCTCAGTCGTACCATTCCAATCGAGGCGAAATTATATTGCGCGAAAAATCAGAATTGCATGCTACCGATTTTTTTCCAACACACGGGCAAAGACATGTCAGTTTGCCCCTATGCCAGCACATCTTGACCTGACCCGCAACTTCTGAGGTCTTCGCGAGTCAAACGAAGCGATTAAGAAATTAGGCTCGCTTCAATTTTGAAACTCGTTACTGTGTTTAGCAGGTTTTAAATAAAAAATTATGCATGCGATTATAATCAAACAGGGTTTTACAGGGGGTGCGCTTATAATTGAGGATCGGCCATAAGCGCATTGCTCCAGATATAAGCGCATGCACTTTTAATATGCCTGCGCTTATATCCGGGGCGATACGGTATAGTGACTAGGCTAACTAGGAGGGAACTTCGGAGGAGTGAGGTTGGGTGCAGGTTTGGCGAGGAGAAATGCCA